TTTTCAAGAATACATAGTGCACAAAGGGAGTCATGCAACGGTTTGTAGAGCTTATTTATTTATTTATAATGCTAATTTTAGAGAAGATTATATTTTATATCATACAGAATTGTCTATACTTATTTTTTCAAAAGTAGAGTTGCTTAATTGGATACGATTCTTGATGCCTTTAAATAAAACTCGATTTTCCGTTATATTTGAGCACGATGCTTTAAATAAATCCGCTGTAAAGGATAAAAAAGTCTTCTTAAACGAGGAAATTATTAAAAGATTTAACTTATTTCAGATCAATTTGTTTCATTGTCAAATCCTATAAATCTGAGGACTTATTGTTTGATTGCTCATCATCAGAGTGCTTGATTAAGCAAATAAATTAAGGACCTTGACCAAAAATCAAAAGCTTAAGTTTTCCGTGATTTTTCAGTTTTGATACGTTTGTTACGTGACATATCAACAACCCATTTTGCTTCCGCAGTACGGTGTTGGTAAATGACGATCGTTCAACTCTGAATTTATCATAATAGCGATAACACAGTTTTTAAATCTTTCAGCTTAGGTTTTTCTAATTATTATTTTTACATTTATAAAGCGCTTGTTAATAAATTAATATTAATATAATCGTCCACATTCCTGATTATCTTTAGAAAGCATATTTTACGAACTTTCAAAGTTAAATTCATCTTATTTATAAAATTGAACTTCATTTCCTAAAAAAATGTTTATTTCCCCTGCCAGAGAAATTTTTTCCATCCAAGCGTAGACCATTCTGCAGAAGACTTTCTTCCCAAAATAGAGCTTCTGAGAGGAGAAAAAGGTGACCAAGGGATTCCAGGACCGCCTGGACCTGTCGGACCTAAAGGCGAAAAAGCAAGTGACGTCTTCTTTTCTTTTGAGTATTTGTTTATTTTTCATGAACTAAACTGTTTAAAATATCTGTTCAACAAATCTGCCTAGTAATATTGTTATATAGTAATATTGTATATATATTATTCATACATACACGCATTGCATATATATTACTCAACTCATATTTTGGAATATTTTGAACGCTTGGCAGAGTATGAAAATAGTTCAAGGAACTGTGCATATATTACTATGTGTTTATGTGAGCATCACTAATTGCATAAAGGACATCAGGCAGATACTCAATTGAATGACAAGATAGTCCCAAGATATCTGTATTAATTGTAACAATTACTTCAGTTTATCATTGCGTTAAAATGTTGACACACTGTATAAAATGTAAACAGATCTACACTTGCAGCTTAATTCTTTTTAACTGCACCGCAACAACTAAATTAAAAGTAACCTTCATGTTCTTGTAAATAGTCTATTGAACCGAACCGAAATAAAGCGTGTAATTAATATTGAAATTAGTACATTGTATTGTATAATGTGTACTGTTAAAATTCTAATTCGAATTTCGAAAAAATCGTTTCGAAGTGCACTGGCTCTTTTCTAGATGCATCTATGTTACCAAATTTCGTAGCCGTGGGTCTATTAGCTTACGCGCAGCGCGAACGAAAGACACACACACACAGACAGACGCTTTTTTTATATTGTTCGAAATGCAAGGCGGTAAAGATGGCTTCCCAAAGCAGTTTTAGGGTTGCCATAAAATGGCAAGGGAAGGTAGGGTTGTACATTGACAAGAAAATTCGGGAAAGATGTTCCGACACAAGCCGAAGCTATATAAACCCTGCTGGTCCGCAGTCAGTCGTCAGTAGTATCGAGAGGTGGCGTCTACGAGTGACTGTGTTATCTAGCGAGTCAATCCCTGCGGAGCGATGGCGTTACAGAGGCTAGCGAGTGCGAGTGTGTCGTCGAGTGCACCGAAAGAGTCTCTGAGTATCGCGGTTATGCATCGTCGAGAGAGGTGTGAGTTCCGGAAACGACTGACGAGAGTCGGGCTGTGCTCTTGTATTGTCGAGTGCACCGAGTTGTAGCGTGAAGAAGCTCGAGAGATGTGGGTTCGGAAACAAGCAGAGTCGGGAGCATACTCCGGAAGCACAGTCGGGTGTTTTGCAGGAAGCTGTCTCCATGTGTAGCATGATAACCTGAAGGTGTGTCGCTGATTGTTTCCGCGTGTTTATAGTAATCTTCGGACGTTAAAAAGGGTTATTGGAGCTTCCTGATTAATATTGGCTAAATAAAGTGTGTTCGATACTCATCAAAAGTGTCGCGTATTCACTCCAAATCTATAAACCCCGTACGAACGTGAAGGAAGAAAACAACGCAACAACTGGTGTCAGAAGAAAGAAAAACGCAACAATATGTAAAGATGTCTTAAACAATATTGCAATTAGTTTTTTTCTGCAGTGCAAATATTCACATAGTTTAAATGAACTATGTGAACTACAGAAAAAAAAAACTAATTGCAATATTGTTTAAAACATCTTTACATATAATAAAAGAAAGAAGTCGGTCTGTGTGTGTGCTTTCGTTCGCGTGCGGATAGGCTAAACCCACGCTACGAAATTGGTAATAGGCATCTAGACAAGAGACAGTACGAGCGATTTTTCGAAATTCGATTCGAATTTTTTATTATGTTTGTGACGAAATCGCGTCTTTTGAGGACATAATGGGCTATAGAAAGCGAGATTTACTCAACACACATTCATGAAACGTAGGCACTTAGCTATTTACGAACTTAAAAAATTTTCGTGTTTCAAAAATCGATTAAACACGAATTTATTTAACAAAGTGAGCTTAACACCTTTCAATGGGATTTTAAAAAAGTTATTTTAAAAAGTACAGTTTATTTTTCTTTGATTTTGACACATTAAACTTTATCCTTGCGACTGCTTTAAAAAAAAGAATTTTGGAAAAATGATAATTATTTTGTTTTTAAAAAATTTTTAATGAAGCTCCGAGTACACTTCTCACATACATCTTTAAAAATGTGATTTTGGCAACAATTTCTTTCCTATTCTTATTGTTGATAGATTTTCGAAATCGCATCATTTTGAATAGTTTCATTCTTTTAGAAATATGGGTTTGCAACAATTTTTCATGTATTTCTTATGTCCTGTTTTAAGAGATTGGCATATTTCATTGTTTTTTATATATATATATACCTTTTTTGATAAAGTTGTTCTGCAGAGTAAAATTCTGTGCGGAAGTTTGTTTTTGAGTGCTTTCATGTTATTTTTGTATTTACTGTTTAAAATATGAAAAGTTTTGCATGATTTTTTTCTTCAACGGAAAGTTGTTAATTTTTTATTAGGAATAAATATTTGTATTAAGGGATATAGCTTATTTCATTGTAATTTTTTTCTCTGAAAATATAAGATAAAATATCTTAATTAATTTGCTTTCAGAATTTTTTGTTTTTTTATTTTTATGTTATTATTGCTCATTTCACTGTTTTTAAGATATTGAAAGTTGAGTGATTTTTTTTTAGGAAAAAAAGTTCTTAACCTCCTTTATACCATTGAGTTTTAAGATTTTGCAAAGGGAAGTGGTTAAATTTATTATTAGGATAATTAATATTTGTATTAAGGGATATTGCTATTTCATTGTAATTTTTTACGTAATAACTTTTTTATGAAGTGTTCTGCAGAGTAAAATTCTACACAGTTTTTAAATTTAATGTTTTTGTTCCCTTCAGCTATTTTTCCGGTACATTTAAAAGCCAGACGAAGGCTGGCAACGAAGCCCCTAGTTTGCTATAAAATCCTAACTGCAGTCTATAATGTCTATTAAGAATTAACGATGTTTAATATAAGGTTATAGTTTAACTCAGTGTATACAATTAGCATATCTGTGTTCAAACCTAAGTTTCAGACTTTGTCTGTTCGTTCGCAGATTAAACGTCCAAACTCCTAATAGACTTACAGCGAATTATTGCTTCGTCTGGAGGAAATACAGAGTTTTGAAAAAAGATTTAAAACAAAATTTATATTAAATCAGAGCTGAAACATAAATACACGACTCGTGTTTATAAATCAGCCAACACTTGTGTCGATGCAACTTAAAGTAACAGTAAATTCAAATTTAAAATTATGTCTTGTAGCGAAGTGCTGCACATATGCTTTAACGCTTAGTAGGCTCAAACGTCTTACCGTAAAACCCTCAAACGTTGTAACAATTTGAATGTCCGCACTGCAATGCAATCTTATCTCAAACGTGGCTTCAAGAGGCAGAAATATATTCTCATTCACAATGCGGAAACCTCGCATAAAATACTCTGGAAACTAATTTGCATTCTGGAAACTAATGGTAGGTAAACAGAAAGAATAAGTGAAAATAAAGATATAAATCATTAACTGATCAAATTAATATATAGCAGCCTTAAAATGTCTTCAGTGTGAAAATCCCCTGTTATACGCCATCCTTTCTAGACTAGCATGATTATATCGACAGCCTCTCGTGGGTGTTATAGTTGAAAGTTGCTTTTAGACAATACTATTGACAAGATTCTCCAAGCTGAAATGCTTCAACTTGTAGATCAGCTGCCGTGTCGATGCAGAAATGTGAAATGAAATGTATCAAACTACTAGAAAGTAATTAACGGTTGAAAATCCTATAACAGTGTATTCTCATGACACACTGAGATAGAATTAGCTAATATCAATGTTTGCCGAAGAATGGACCATTATGTTTTGCTATGCATGATGCCGGCAGAATGTTGATTCATCACCTTAGCAAAATCAGCGAACATGCTTAAAAATTATGGATCTATATGTAAACAATCCATTATATAATTTGTTTCTTTGTAATCTTTTTAACTTAAGTACCATGTATTAATTGCGTTGCATTTGCATAAAATCGAAAGATAAGAAAATGGCTAAAATAATAATTAGACCAAAGTAGGAAAACTTTTTTTATCAATATGAGACGAGTTTGCAAAATACCTCAAAAAGGATTTTTGACGAATTTTTTTATAGTGGATACTCTGTAGACTGGTGTTTAGTACTGGTGTTTAGTGGTGTCTGATGCCAACTGAAAATATATTGCTTAGTAGTGTTTTATGCATGCTGTTGTATAAAATTGTTTAGTAAAATAAATCGTGTACATAGTTTACTAACCAACTGTTATTTAATTATCATATTTATATATCTTAAATCTGCAATAATTATATAGATATGATCTCAGATTTCTCTGTTTGAATTTTAGATGTCGATCCTATCAAAAATGTTATTAAATAATATTATTAATTGAGAGAATTAATGAAGAAAAATAACTTCATTGAAAAGTTAATTTTATCTATAGATTGGTATTAGTGTTGGTTATATGTATAGATTGGTATATGTGTTTTGAAAACGAATGTGTCATTTCATCTGAAAATGAAAATTATACAAGTTTTCCTCCATATGCTCGCTTTTTGTCAATACAGGGAAGCAATCAATTCAAGATCCCAAATTCGACTCCAGACAACACTATTTGCATGAAGCTTTTTCTTGTTATCCGCCGTCTCTCTTCTTCATAAAAATTTTATGATTTAAAAAGGAAGTCATTATTTTGGCAGTCTTCCGTCATTCAGATCTGAAAACTAATTTTTTAACCGAGATTTTATGGCATACTGCCTCATTTCGAAGGTATCTCTGAAGCCTCATTCAAACAGAAAATTCTAAATTCTCAAATCTTTTTTCAGTCGATGCATGAATACTGATTTGATATCGTCAATTTCAGTTTGCCCAGCTACAAAGTATCTGTTACAGATTTCAGATTGTGGATTTTCCACATTATCTCCATTATTATGAAAAATCATAATTTTGACCTGAAGCACATATCAGGTAAAGACAATGGGGCTTTTCAAATCTCATTACATGCACGACATAGTGCCTTTTGTTTTTAGAGATCTTGTAAAATGGAATTAAAAGCAGTGGAATCATGTGAAAACGGATGATTGTAATACATTAGTTCCTAGACAGTTTTTTAAAATGGAGGAAGCATTTTGGTGTGTAGAAGCGATTCTTATTTAATAATCAGCTTTGAATAAAGTATTTATTACTTCTTAAACTTTAATTTTCAGTATACGTACTGCATATACTAATATAATTTTCAAAATTACATCCTGAAGACATAGAAATGCTTTAAAAAACTACGTGATTAAAACCAGTTTTAAAATGAAAATGTTCTAATGTATGGCTTGTAAATGATTCCTTTGATTAATAAATTTTCCATGTCTTAACGTTCAGTTTAGTAGTTGCAAGCTGCGAGATATAACTCATGTCGAAGAACTTAAATTTGAAAAATATTAAGTAAATAAATAATAAAGAACGTATAATCCAGAAGATTTAAAAAACATTTATGTGATATTTCTTCTTATTTCTTAAATTTTTTATGAATATTTAGCGATAATTTTATCTCACCAGGAGCACTGAGCACATCGGGGGCATTGAGCAAATGAAAGAATAAAAAAGCAGAAAAAGTAGAGTGAAAACTTGAATTGAGAAAACTTCTCGATTGTAAATATTCTATTGCAAATAATCTGCTCATTGTGTGTAAAAATGTGCCCTTGAAACTAAGACTTTGCTTCCAACTTGAAATAGCAAATCAACTGACAAAATTTATTTTTCTGGAAATAAAAAAATACGTTCTTAACTGCAATTATATAATAACATTTCTAAATTTCAAGAATTAGTACATTTCAAATATAGGTGCTATTACAATTATTTAGGCCATATTAGACAAGAGCGGTCATGCATTTGAACATTTATTCAAAAATTATCAAATAGAGATTTTTATAATGATAAAGCCATACTTTGATTTTTAAAAATCCACTAAATCCTACTGCATGAGTTATCTTTGACCTGAATAGCCTCACGAAATTTGTTGATCCTGCAAGTGATCAGAGTCAGCAATAAAATTCTTATATATCTAAACCATATTTCTTCTATTCGGTCACATGCTGTACGCATATACAGATAAGAATTACTGAGCTTCAAGAGGATTTAACTCTGAAATTAAAATTCAATGAACCATTTTAAGCGGCTTTTTATGGAAGATGTATATATGCTGCACAGGAAGACTTCAAAACTATATATACAAATTTATGCACCTTGTACAGAAAATTTAGCACTGTTTTTGTCAGCACATATATGTTTCAAGTTTCAATTTTGCCGGTATATAATGCATTTGAATAAAATGTCGCAACCACATCCAGAGAAGACGACGAAAGTCTCTGAATGTGTGTCAGTATTATCAATTCCAATACTGAGGTAATTCGTTACCGAAGTAAAAGATCAATCGCATTTCTAAAATTCAGTTATTGTATGACGGCTGCAGGCTTATTGTTTGAGGATAACATTTTGAAATACTGATGCATTTTTATTAATTATTAGTTAATTAATTTTGTATCATTTTTAACATGCTCTGCTGATTCCGCTTAACATTTAATTTGCCTTACATTTCGAACACCTTCTACAAAGTTTTGTTCTTGACTTGGATAATCGGCGAGAAGATCGGTCCCACTACTGATTAAAATTGTTCTTTTTGCACTAGGCCATGAATTCAAGGACTAATTAAGGATTTAAGCACACTATTGTGATTAAAGCCTTTGATAATTGAATTTGATACACTTTATTCCTTTAACTATATATTTTAAGTTTATTTAATATTATTATTTGGAACTAGTAAACATTTTAATTGATTGAGAATTTTTTGAGTTCTAAACATCAGTTACAATGCCTGCAAAATTATAAAAATTAATTTTATTATTCTTGTTTTCAGGGGGAATGTTCTTGGATTGGAAATCCTCGATGGAAGAGAACGGATAAGAGAGAAGACTGGATATTTCCAGACATTGGATCTGGAGAAGGTCCTGTGAGTTAGAAGTTCATATTACAAATTTAACTACATAAGATTGCAAAGAGTTTGCTTTTGGCTAATGTTTCATTTTTGCACCAAATTATTATTTGTTGCATTAAAAAACTCTCATTTTTCTCTGTAAATTTCTTATCATTATAAATATTTAGAACCTAGTATTATCTTTTTTTCGCTTCACATAATATTACATTATGCATCCGCAGTGTTAATTGCTGTGATAAGCATCTTTACCCAATGGTTCATTAGAACGTTTGGTTAATGTTATCATTCTTAGTTAATGAATAGTTTTTCAGATGTGTAATGATTCATTTCTCGTGGAACCATGCTTGATAAGACCCCAGTTAGAAGAATGATAAGAATTATATTTTACTTAGAAAAATGTTCTATAATTTTGCCGATGACATGAATTCACATTTACATTAACTACAAGTGCTATATCTTTGTCAGGTACAAAATCCCTTGCATAATGTCCATTTCGTTCAATCTAGCACATAAAAACAGACAACAAACAAAACATCCTTTTCGACAACAGTTTTATAATCTTTAATATAGCTGAGTTATCAGGTTTTTGTATGCTTTTTAAGATGTAAATTCTCATTCAAACTTAATATTAGTAAGATATCTGTCAGAGAAAATTTTCTCCATTTTAAAGTTCCTAAAACAGGAATTTTTCCAGTATTTTTTAATCATACAGTTATTTTTTAATTTATTACGCTTAAAAGGCACGGTCATTAACTGTAGAAAACGATTTTAATTCTTTTTTACTCTCACCCTTAACGGACATCCATCCGAAATCTGCAGCAAACAGATTTTCCCAGTATCCCCATTTGCAAAAGTGGTTGCAATTAATGCAGTTTCGGCATCGACTTTTTCTTTAATTTTATAGTTATTTTTAAAATGAGATATATGTCTGCAATAATAATACATAATTATTCTTTTGGAATTTTTCATAATATATTATTTATAAGCAAATAGCAGAAAATATTGCTCTTCCAAGAGATGATGAATGCAGCGAAAACAGTATTATCACATATTGAAATATTATCATAACATTTTAACCTATTTTTATCAAACATAAGAACTTCAGCATGTTATCAGACCAGTGTAGTGCAGTGTTATTAGACCACTATACCAGCAGTGTTCAAACCTGTTTTGTCCTATTCAGCCCTTTTACTATTGCTAGAAGATCAATCCAATGCTCCTCTTCCAAACTAAAAAATGCATATATACGTTTATTTAGATTTAGATTATTTTTTTAATATATTTTATAATTAAACAACAGAATGTATATAAAACGTTGATAATACCAGAACTTGCATAAAAGTAGTTTTTTATATTCATAAACTAAAACTAAATACTTTACAGCTAAATGAAAGGCTGACCGCATTTTCTCCTTGGAACTATCAAATCTCCCCTTCCAAAAGGGATTTTCTCTCCAGTTGAGAACCACTGAACTAAACTTTGAGCACAAAATCTCAGCTAAATTTTAGATAGATATGATATAATTTATTTGATTTAAAAACATCATATTCCCATGAGAGGCACAACAATAGGTAAATGACAATATCCATTCACTTCTTTTCAATGCCTATATAATAGTAGATCATTACACTATGGTCAACATTTCATCAGTGTGGTACAGCCCTGTCCGTTTTTATTATAGCAGCTTTCTTTCGAGGAAGAATTTTCTTTAGTGAACTGATTTAACTGTAAGAAGATTTCGGTTTATACCAGAATTTAAATACCTTATTCACTTGTTATGGAAACCAATATATCAATACTTAACACTGATACTATAATGACATAACAGAGACAGTACCAAAGCATAAATTGCTTAGTTTTATTCATTTAAGCTCCTGTAGCATAATTGTTTTCTTTGTGCAAAAAATCTAAATCTAGCACGAATCGGTCAGAGCACTAATCTGCTCTGAGTCATTTCGTTCTAAATTCAGCAGGTTAACCATAATGTGCATAAGAGACCTTGAGATGAATCGCCTTCTGTATGCAAAGGTTGAAGCTGCATTTCTCAGAACTAAGCGAGAAGCAAATCGAGGTTAAAATTCGGAACGTTTAAATTATTTAAATTTCTTCTAGCATTGTAATCGCTGATCTCCTTGCAGCTCACGTGCAAGAATTAATTAAAATTTCTAGGTACAAATGCAGGCATCGTTAGAATTTTTTAAATTTCTTTCATGCTACAACATCTTGAAATAAAATTTTTTCATGAAAACGTTTCGAAGAAACTAGATAAAGTTTTATGAAAAATTTTGTACAGAAAAACAAATTTTAATTTATTTTGTTATAATTTATTGTAATTTTTTAGTAAATTGTTTTGATTAACAGATGATGCTTATATGAAAATATCAGAATATAAAATTCTGGAAGTGAATACTTGAAAAAATAGTTTTTCACAATTTAAATTTTATATAAAATAATTCTTAAAATTTCAGCAGAAAATTCTCTTCCATTAACCTTAAAACATTTCTCCTATATAGCATCTACAGCTTTGCTTAGAACCAAAGTTTTCTGTTCTTATATCACACAAACACATACTATAATGGAAAAATTCATTTAGATCGTAATTTTCCGTCATTTAATCAATACCTTCCTAATGTTAGTATTTTATATTTTTCACAGTTTTATGATAAATATCACATAACATTTGTAAATAAATTTCTGAAAAAGCGCAATATGTTACAACAAAATAAGTGAAAAACTGTTTTTTTTTAGAAAATGTTTGAAAATTATCTTTTTACTTCCTTGTACGAAGTAAAAAGAAAGTATTGTAATCGCGAAAAGTTTCAGGCATCATATTTCAACGAAAATATCCATTTTGACCTCTATCGAATGCAATTAACGATGTTTTGCGTTACATGTAGTAAAGACAGAATAAAAGAATCTTCCTCCAAAAAAATTATAAATGCTTTAAAATGATTCTAAAGAGAATTTTTCGTGGTGTCTGTACGTACGTACGTATCTCGTACTCAAAAGTGTAGCCTCAGAAGTTGAAATTTTGTATATAGGATGCTATAACATGTTTGAATTATGTGGTTATCTTCCAGTTAAGGTTTTATGCTTTAGAAATCTGCAAGCAATATTTGTAGAATTATCAACAATTGAAAGCTTTTTAAGACGGTTAAGACTAATTTTAATACATGCGATATGTTTGTTTACATTTGAAACAGCAGAATAGAGATTGTGCCAATCTAGAAGACAAGGCTTGCAACAACAAAGATACGCCTTCATTATTATTGCGGTTTAATCATGCTCATCCTTTCTGGAATTATTTTCGAGGAAATAAAGTGTTAAGATTTTACTTCGTATTTTTAATATATTTTTTGAGTTTATGTATTTTTGCCTTGTCGCTTTGCCTTGTTTATGAAGACTTAACCCTTTAACTGTCAAGTTATTTTGATGATTTGGTACACAAATTGTCAAATTTTTATTGGAAAATTTAATGTTTTAGTACAAAATAAATATATACTTAAGTAGTAAAAAAATTGATATTTTGAAGTATGGGTAAAATTTTAAAGTTTTGTAAGCACTGCATTTTTGCTTGAGCGGCTGCCACTCAAACATGGCAGTTATAAAGTTCGCTTCTAGTGAAGCATTATTTTCTAAAAACGAAAAAAATTAATTATTTCTAAAAAAAATAAATATAGGCGAATACCTATTAGTAGTTCAGTAATTCAGTCTTGTGTGGTACAACTGGAAACACTTTTCCAAGCACAAACCAACTCCATAATCACAACACCAGAATCGTGTTTCCTTCCTTATCTTTTCCCAATTTTTATCCTTTTTCAAACAACACACTTTGCACTGTCTTGTAGGCTCACGTTTCGCAGGAGTAGGAGGAATATGGGATATAAAAGTCGTTCAGTAAGACGGGCAGGGTTATCTATTGTAGGTGGTCTGCCAACAATCTTTGTCCAGAAGCTGCATCATCATATTTATGTAAAAGCTCTTCTACAACTTGGATTCGAAATTCTAAAAATGTAATACGTTTTCCAACTACATTTTTATAGGGCAATATGAGAGTTCCAGACTACCTTGTCTAGTAAATGTAAAAATATCTTTTATAATATTTTTTGACGTTTCCGGATTGTTGGATGAAAGGATATTTCCTGATTACAGCAATCTACACATCCCATAGATAGACTGTAATTAGAAACAATCTTCGGCTTGAGTATATCTCCATTTTTTTATTTTTGAGGCTGACCATGGAAGTATCATGAATACTGCTCATCAAACACACATCCTTCATCTTCGGTTGAGGAATCTAAATCATCTATATAACGTTTCTGGAACTGGACGCCATTTTACAACAAAAAGATCCCGTGCACTTTGAACCAAAGAACTTATAACCTCTAACTTTTGAAATCTTCAGTAAAGTGCTGTCATCTATTGAATTGAGCGATATTCAATTGAGCGACATTAACTTTTCCCGAGATACAGCCGGGTTTGACAAAGAGATGAAGCCGAAATAAACGTCTCCCGATATATATTCGCGTATAACAATATGATGCACTCAAAAAAAAATTACCCCGAGCAATACACGGGCGTGACATTTTCGAACACCAGTGCTGTGCCCGAGATTATCTCGGGCATGACAGTTAAAAGGTTAACTAATCGCAACTGTATATGCTTCATAATTTAGCATCTAGAAAACTATGTGTGGAATTTACTTCACTAGTTTGAAATTTCAGAGTCTAGATTTAATTCAATCCAATAAGTTTAAATGAAATGCAAGAAATAATGCGTATAATTTAATATTCCGTACAAAAAAGTCATGTGATGTACACATAAGATTTTTTTCAAAATGTTTGGAGAATATCCTTTTTTACTCTTGCCTTAAGAGTGTTTTGCAGGAATAAGTTTTATTCCAAAATAAAGTAACATTAAAAGATTAAAAACACTGGTAAAAGAAATGCTAGTGGCAGATAGATTCGTATCGAGTACTTTGGATTAGTCATTTTGCACGCTTCCATCACATATATTAATGTATTCTGTAATTATTCAGAATTCGAGGTAAATCGGAAAGACCAAGATCATGCGCTCCCATTGGAAATATTTTTCTAAATCTTTGTGTAAAAGAATAGCTTTAACACGACAATTCCAACATGTTCTTTGTCCTATTTGATATCTTAATAACTAGGAAGAACACTTACCGTTGATATTAAATTGAAGTTAATTCCACGCAACAGAAATAAACGTAAATATCACTGGCATCTTTTTAATGTCATGTAGAGGCCAATGAAGCTGCAAAAGTTATTAGATATTAAAAAGAATTTAAACAGCAAATCAAACAGGAAGTATATATGTAACGAGGAGGGAAGAAAACAGAATTTGTAAAAAAAACAAATCTTTATATTTTAAGTCAATTAAAAATTACAGGGAAGGCGAAATTACCTTTAGAAAGACCTCTATACCAGTACATTTTTAAATTTAAATTTTGTATGAATTTGTTTGTTAAAAAACAGCGTAAATGTTCTTTGTGAGAAGTTAAAATATTGTAATCTTTTAGTTTTGCTCTATTTATTTGTTTTTCATAGCTAAATTACAGCTAGTGTATGTATGCTTTATATGGAGTAATTTCTAAAAATGTTTCTTTTCCAGCCCACTGACTTTCCATCTCCTTGGGACATAGAAGAACCAGAAAACTGCTACTGCAACATATCTGCTTTGGATTTACCGTCTGGACCCCCTGGTGAAGATGGAAGAGATGGCATACCAGGAATTCCTGGGCAACCAGTAATTTTTTTTTTTTTTTTTTCCGTTTTCTTCGTTTAGCAAAACAATTAAGTTCGTGGACATTACAGAATTTTGATACCTCAATACACTTTTTTGCTAAATGAATTTAGTCATAGAACCCGTTTTACATTCTTTATAGCGCAACAGATTCCTTAAAGGTTTTAATAAAATTGATTAAAAATGGATGGTCAGCCGGCAAAATGTTTTTTTTTTTTTTTTTTTTTTTTTTTTTTTTTTCAAGGCAAAATATCTATAAATTGAAAATCCAAGAGAAGGGTAGGCATAAATTTTTCTTTTGTTTTCATGTCACAGAAATAAATGCAGCATGTATGTGCAACTTTAATAAAAGTATGAATCTATAAAAAGTATGAAATTTTAATCTAATTGACAATTTTAATGTCGGTTTTTTTAACTGTTTCAATTAAGGCTGAATTTGGATAACAATAATTTAAGTACCATATTCTTTTCATCACTACATTAGTGATTTAAATGCATAGATTATTATAAATGTGGTATATGTTAAAGCAGCTTCTTTTCAGAGCTCTTCGTATGAGGTTAGTTTCTATTGAGAAAACGACTCAGATGTTAAGCTGAAATCCACTTTAAACTTCTTCGTGGTTAGCTGAGATAACACCAACCTGCCGTTTTGGATCTTATGTAAAATACAAAAACGCTTCTTGGACCAGGATTCATAACAAGCACTTTTTTACAAAGGCCGCAAATAGAATGATATTGCTAATCCAAAATGTTCAGTTTTATGAAGACTTAACTAATCGCATTAGACATTATTTAGCATTTAGAAAACTATGTGGTGGTACTATGTGGGGAATTTACTTCACTAGTTTGAAATTTCAGAGTCTAAAATCTTATTTTTCTACACAGCCCTTAAATTTTCCTCAAAATTCTTGAATTATAATATTTGAAAAGAGCTTCTTTGAGGAACTATAGCAATTTATGAAGCTCATATTTAATATTAACAAAAATGCTAACATTTTTTTTTCAAATTTAAATTTAAGCTGTTTCACATTTTCTTATTAGATTTCATAAAAAATACACGCAGAAGATTTAATCTACTTGAGCAGTAAACGAAAATGCTAAAATGTTTTCAATCTAAATTTGAGCTGTTTTACATTTTCTTATAAAAAATACACGCAGAAGATTTAATCTATTTGAGCAGTAATGCACAAAGAGGAAAATAAATGCGTCATTAATTCAAACACGAGTCAAGTAAAATACGTAACGTACGCCTTCTTAACGTAATGGATTTTTGTGTTTTACCGACAAAATATCTCTCATCCAAAGAAGCGCAGATTCAACGAGAAGAAGAAGTAATAGTAGAAGTTTCATGGTAGAAGTTTGTTGACTATGCGTACTCATGACTTCAATAGAAGATGTCTCAATTCACATAAATTACGTAATCAGAATTACGATATTAATACTCATTTCTTCTATCCGAATCACAAATATTTTATTGGATTAACATCCAGAAAATTTGAGCAGCATTTTTTGCGTCACATATTTACTGCTGAACAGTTTCAATGAAGAACATTCTTTTTTCCGTTCTTAGACTCGTCCTGTTCTATTCTGACTAGTGTTATGTACTCAGACTCTACCTACGCCAAGGAGTGCTGTTATTATAACCAAGTATATTCCATCAATGTAAGGTTCAGTCAGGCATGAGTTATCAGAATTCTTTCTTAATGTATTAATGGTCCCCACTTATCCTGTAAGAATATTACTTCGACCTTCACATTCTTTCTGCCCACTTGGATGCGTGCCACGCAGCTCTTCCATATGAAGGAATCTTTAGGCAAATATTCCGCATAAACTTACTGTTTCATGTGGTGCAATAAATAACCGGATTTATCTCGTTATATTACTTTTTCCTATATTGGTGATTATGTGAAAACTGGAAGCAGTTGGGACTAAACTGTGAATATAGCATCAAGATCGGATCTGCTGCTACAAAAACCAGTAACCGAAAATGAATTATATGTTTGAATACACTGAGTCGCAGAATCTCGATTGAAATTATATGTACTTTCAATCACAATATACCTCCTGCCTCTGCAAGCAATAGGAGACGAAATGTGCTGACATTTGGTTCAATGAGATATTAGCGAATCACACTTACTGAAAGTGTAATTATTTTTAAATTTAACTTTGATAAGTACCAAATATTGAATAAGCGAATGAGTTATAAGTGCCTTTGCTTCGAATTTCCTTGCCGAAAAGAATTTGGCATCCATCGCATATTAAACTTCCCGCAGTGCAGGATTTCATGAATGATAATTTTCATGGTTGCAGTTGAACAATATATCTCTTTTGTAGGTTTGTGATACAGTTTTCGTGAGTTTTCAAAAGACATTCAGTCTGCTCACTAACTCTTCAAAGGAACAACTGGAGTGAGCTTTGAGTTATGTCACTTGGGAGCATCTTCTGCTAATGTATGGCCGTCTTTAAGTAATTTGCGACACTCTTAAGATTTTTCACCCGCTAAAAAGTATCCTGGAAGTCTAAACTTCTCTCCCGTTTTCTTTTATATTTATAAGAAATTTTATTACAACCTACTGTTCCATGACTGCGCTGGCAGGCAACTTATTTCACATTCGCAAGAAAAGCAACCCTAGAGTAATGCAGTAAAAAGTTAGAGCAAAGCAGTTGTACGCGACGTTAGGGTAAAGCAGAAGCAGTTGTGTCTTAAGTATGTTTGAATGATGTTGTGTCTTAAGCAGTTGTGTCTTAAGTATGATGCGTTGTCAAGTAAGTCGTCTATTAAATAACATGGTAGACGGAGACGTTAAGGCTTCAAGAATCAGCGTAATATTCATAAATTTGCAGGACTATTTTTTAAGGTTTAAATATAGAATCCTCTTCTTCAGCTGCAGAAGTGCAAATGACGAAAGAGAAGCTCGTGCTCGGGCCTCTTGTTGACTTAACACCTTTAATAATCGTTATTCTATGTATTTATTATATTAATTCAGAACATGTTATAATCGGACACATCGTTTTTGTAAGCATGACATATAACTTGCTTTATTATCTGTAAGCGGGCTCATGGGCCGAAGTGTTTTGATTTGACTAAACCTTCTGTGTATAGCGTGCGGATAATATTTTTTTTGAGGTCTTATCTTTTTGATACTATTGACTTTTTCATAAATATCATAACTGGTAACAAATTCTCTGAATCAGAAATATTAAATTCTTTCTTCGGTTATTTACTGCTGTTTATAAACGAATAGAAGTGATTTTTAAATCGCACAGAATCGAACATTATGTAGCAACAATCGTTCAGTGTTAAAGAAAAATTCAATGAAAATATGCACTTTTTGAATGATTTGTTAATATCATCCACTATACTTTATGGATGATTTGTTAATATTACAAATTTACTTCTAAAATATGTTTCATATATCATTAATGCTATTTTAAATGTAATGGAATTTTCAATTAATGATAATATATGATGTTTTATAATTTCTAGAAGTTGGCTAATTATAATGCAATTTTTTCGCAGGGAATGCCTGGACCACCAGGTGATATGGGCTTACCAGGTTTTCCTGGACAGAAAGGTGAAAAAGTAAGTTTATATAATGTTGGTTTTAAGGAAGAAAATTTCTCAGATAGAAAAGATCAGTTCAAATAAAAGTACTTATATGCAACGTATTAGCCCAAATACATAACAAGACCTCATACGCAGGAGTTTTCAAAGTATTTTATAGGAAGCCTAAGGTATACGACAGCTTTGCATATATGAAATTCGTATTTGAAGCTGTCCTACAAGAAAGATATTTATATAGATGCATCTTAACCTTGAGTAAAATTAAGTATTACATATAATTTGTTGTAATTTACATTTTCATAGGTAAATGATATATACATCTAAATATATTTCTTAAATGCTACATTGCGCGCATAGATAAGTATGGTTTCAAGAACAACATTTTACGAGGAAAACATTACTTTATATTCGGATTAATACGATAATTAAACTTAAGCATAAAAATATGGTAATGCTGTTTTAAGTACAAAATTTCACACTTTACTCTACAGTAAGGAACCAGAACTTGGTCAAAAATCAGAGGTCAACAAAAACCTACATTAATTTAGTTTACAAGAATATTTTTGTTGTAAATGTCTAAGTAGGTTTAAAAAATATTTTGATTTATGATAAACGTAAATAATGTGCTATATTGTATTTGAGAATAAGTGACATATTATATAGTTACAAAAGTGCAATAAAATATTCAGGTTACATTCATTATTACATTCAAAATGAATGCCTGTGAGAAGAAGGTGACGTTTTTCTTTTAAACGCTTTAATAATAAGTTATGCAGTACTTAAGGGTGTACAGTAGATTATTCACATAAATTAATAATAAAATATGTTACAAAAACAAAAAGGAAAAATAAATGATTACTTAATAGAATAGATAAAAATAAAAAATTCATGCAAGAAAATGTAGTTTTCAGAAAACTGTTTTTGATAGTAAGATACTGCGATCGGCATTTCAGTGTGTTGCTGCTGTTGCTAAGTTGATAAAATTATATTTGATAAATTTTTATAGTAGTGAAAACTATGTGGTGGGCTTTCATTGTATATTGTTTCAAAGCGACAAATTTGCCTCTGACCTTCTAGAAATTTTATTCTGCTTCTGAGCAGTATTTTTGCACCCTTTCTTCAGAACTAATTTGAGCTTTCTTAGCTCATATGAATATTTCCCAAAACAAGAAAGCTATATATATAGGTAATTCGATCTGTTTTGGACGCGAATGTAATTTCGAATTTCATGTGAACTAGTTCATTTTGTGGAAACATCCTTGAAGAAGTTCAAAAATAATAATAAAAAAAAAAACAGATGATTTTAGCATTACTTGAAATTGTGATAAAAGAGTTATCGAAACGAATAACTTTCATTCGGAAAACGTAACAAATGCATTCAGTCAAAATGTTTAAGTCATGATCTGACTATTTTCGCTTATCTTGAAACATTTTCATTCATTAATCACATGTTTTATCTTGAAACATTTTCATTTATTAATTACATGTTTTAATATTCTCTTCTTAAATACCGAATTTCACCATTAGCTTAAAGCATTTATCACCAAACTTTAAAAAAATAAAGACAGATGCATTCCTTCATTTTAATAAACACTGACAAAATTCAAATTTTTAAAAAAATATATCTAAGATCGAACAAAGATGAGCAATACAGATGCTGGGAGAAGCAACAGCGAGACGGTGATCAATAGCTTCCAATAACGCTACTGAAATTTAATAACAAAAATAACAATTTATAATAATTCTTTTTTAGTTTGAACATTTATTTGTAGAAACCGAAGAGTATTTACAAAAGTATAACGTTAATGAAATATTATTAAATAGTTATCTTCTTACAGGGCGCAACTGGAACAACAGGTGAGCCAGGACCTATTGGACCAAAAGGAGAGCCTGGACTTGATGGAATTCCTGGAGCACCCGGTGCAAGGGGACTACCAGGCCCACCAGGACCACCTGCGTCAAGTCAAACTCACATAGCAACAGACATTTTTGGTGTAATAAATATTTTTCTATGAAATAGCCATTCAATAGATTGAATCAAAATTAATACTATTCACATCAACTTCAATCACAATTTCTTATAAAGTGTTTTCCTTAAACAAGCCAAAAATTGAAATTTTGAGTTCAAAGACACAATAAAAAAAAGCAGTTCTTTGTTTTCATTTGTTGTTTTGCATTGATTTCGATTAAAGGTAGATATATTTTCAACCATTAAAACGCCTTGCTAAAAATGTATGAAATATTTTTTGGGAGATTCACTCGTGGCCAAATATATAGAATTTATGAATACTAGTGATTCATTTGATCCGAGTTTGAATGGACTGGCTGCAAATGTGTTTTCATGATTTTTCCATATATAACCTGACTACGAGCCATTCTGCATTAGAAAGACCTTTATGAAAGCATTTCTCATTTGAAAGCAGATAACTCTAACATTCTTTGTTATAATAATTAAAATACAGCTTTTTTTCGGATGTATTCAAGCAAGGAGTTATTAATATACGTGTATCACTCACTGTCCAAGAAAACACAAATTTCAAAACAGAGTATTGCTTCTTTTAATAGGCAAGATTAGCGTTAGAACTGCTAACTAACTTCTTATTTTAATTAACAACAGACTGCTATAATTTATCCTTCACACATAAATTGTTAATCAGAATTAAAAGAGCAGTATATAGTAAAGAACATACAACAGAATGATAGAAATAATATAACAAGAAATAAACTATAAATAAAAATCTATAAATAAAATATTTATAGAATTCTGTACCTTCCAGAATAATTCTAAAATAATAATTGCAACTCAGAACTTCTTTGTATCCTCTAGTTAGTTTCTTAATTTTATTAAATATGGCGAAATACACTAGAGCTCTCCAGCTAAGAGAACACGAAGGCATTTACGCAGCTAGCTCGTTCTCTGCGGCTTGAACCTAAGTAGAAATGTTTAGTGTTTTATCCATTAGGTAACAAGTGGGGCCTCTGGAACCTTAAAATAACAGTTTTAGTAAGAAAAGTTTAATATTAGTACTAAATTTGCGAAGTTCAGATAATGTCATGCCTATTTAAACTAAAAGCCCCCAATGGAGATTTTGTATTGTGCTTTGTAAATGAAAGAAAACGTATCACTACTTCTATATCATTCAGTCACTAACCTTAAAATTCTTAAAGTAATCCTTGTTAAGATTCTAAAAAAGAAGCGTGCAGGCGCTGAAAGTATGGGGAACAGACGGCTTGGCATTACTGTCACTGTCAGTATTGCTCCTCTATCACAATATCTTCTGAGGTTTCTCAAATAATAACTAAATTTACATGCTTCTGAAGAGGCTGAGTTTAAAACAAGGAGAAACAGAGAATAGCAGTTTTTTTAATTGGTTAATGAAATGAAGTCTTACAGAATAATATAAATTACTAATATTAAAATATGAATTCTTAGCCATAAGCTGTTCGAAAACTGCATATCATAAATTTAATAATTCGGCTGTATTTAAACAAATTCTTTTCTTACTACTAGACAATATTAATTCACTATAAGATAGTGTGCAAACGATTATTCTGTTCAGAGGTATGTAATATCTCTAAGAAGAATTACCACTAGAAATATCTTTTATTAATTAGAGTAGCAATGAAAATATAATTATTATCAGTTAAATATGCAATACATAATATGAAATAGGTGAATTATAAATTACATCAGTTAGAGTTATTAAAAACAAAAATGATATAAGAAGTTGCTTTTAAATTTTATAATTAGATAGATAATCTAACATTTAAACTTTAAAGATTTATTGAAGATCTTGAAGCACCTATGCAGATCACTGCTATTCTAAATGTTAAATGGTGGATTTGTAAAGACACTTCAACTCAGAATATTTAAAATGAACCTTTTTTATTTAAACATTAGCCTGACGGTTACTCAACCTGTGAAATAACAGAAAATCACCCTCTGCAGCTTCCCAGGAAATTCAGAAACAAATGTTAAAATAAAATTATAAGGTAAAGTGCGCCTCCAAACTTTGGTTCAGGCCCTCAAATTCCTGGGAGTAATTACAGCTAGCAAAGCTAATGCCTTGATAAGCAATACAGATGCTGGGAGAAGCAACAGCGAGACGGTGATCAATAGCTTCCAAAAGCTCTCTCTTGAGTTCGAAAGTTTTATGTTTAATTACATTAATGATATGCCTCTTGGTAGGAACCAACAAAAGCAGAAATGAAAATAAAGACAAAATAGTAAGATAACTGGTTAGTTAATGCAAAAACATTCACACTTCGACAACTGATAATTTTTCAGTCTGAGTGGATGGTTTCATGTTTCTGGAGAGAGATCTTATATCTGTTGTAACAGCATTTGTCAGGCCATATGAATAGTAATTGTGGCAGTTTAGAGAAATGTAAAGTAACGGTGGCAATAAATGAAGAGACCAAGCAATAGGTGTTTTAAGATCAGTGCTGAAACTGAAATAATTTTTCACAGAACCTACCGTCATGTTGATATACAAGAACTTTTAGCTTGATACATAATGCTGCGTATTACGCCCACCTAGTTTTCGCGAATGAATTTGATATTTCACTACCCATATATACTATAAAAATGCCTTTAGGAATACCTTGTTTTTTTACACTATATATTTTATACAATGTCATGAATATAAACACTGTTTAATGAACGTCATTTGAACTTTCACCTTTTTTAAAAATATTTCCTGCTTTAGATTAAAGAAAGATAAGAAAAAGAACAAAAATTAAATGAATACGTGCTGAAACCAGCAAGTATACTGAACAAAAACTAATATTCCAGAACAGACTCAGCGTCCAAGATAAAATGTTGCCAACTCATATTTTTCTTTCTATGGTGAAATGTTCACGAGAATGATTAGTATTATTTATAAAAATGTTTTACATTATAATTGACTGACGGTTAAGACAAAAGAGCCTACATTGTACACTAAAGTTGCGTTTAAGATAGACGACGGTATTCGAGATAACACTTCGAGATTAAGATGATACGTTGTTTTTCGTAGACAGATTATCGAAGCTGAGAACAAGCTGAGGTAAATAAAATAAATTAAAGTCATATTCATTTTCATAAATCCAAAATTTTAGCATGAATAAAATTATTACTGACTTTGTTGTCACGATAAAGTCGTTGAATTTTTCTTTTAATTTAAATCAGTAATGCAAGGATAGCATTCTGCTTGGCTTAAACTGAAAGCAAAACTCCTTTCTTTCAGTTTAAACAAGGCAGCGTAAGAGCAGAGTGATGTACACTCGGGGAAAAAAAGGGGGGGACAGTTTTATGTCTCTCGTTTTACTGGGCCGATTAACGAAATTCAACTTGCGTTTTTCATGTTTTGAAAGCGCGACTTAGGATATGTATTAGATTTATATAAAGCATTGCTCTAATATAGGCATATTGAAGCAAAATAGGACTTTTTCTGAAATAACATACCAATTATTTTTCCATATTTCGATTCTATGACTCATAAAATTCACCAATTTTTTATGATTTATTTTAAAATAATTTTCATAAATTTTTCAAAAAAAATTTGAATTATAATCTATAAAATGTTTACCATCATCTTAAAGTAGACGTATTTCTAAGCATACCTGCAAAAAATTACAGTTTTTATTGAAAATTTCTGGAGATATACGTCAATTGATATATTGGTGCGTTTTGAAATTTGGCATATTTGTTGAAAGCGATAAAACATCAAATAAGGTTTAGTCACTTTGCTAAAATTATTTGGAAGTAGAAATGACGTTGCTTTTTTTCCGCTCATGCACAATGTAAAAAGATGTAAAAAGGTAGGAACGAGGTGCCTTTTTTTCCGCTTCGGCTAGTGGAAGGGAAAGGAAAATTGGTTGCCACATATTAAGAAGCTCGCCAAGTGAATTATTCTTGGCGAAAAGTGAAAAAATTGCGTCAAGATAATTTTTTTGAAGTTCTTCGTAAATTTCGCACCACATTTTACAAAATTTAATATTTAGGCATAATTTGAGTCGTAGAATCGAAATATTGAAAAAAATTGGTATGTTATTTCAGAAAAAGTCCGATTTTGTATCAAAATACCCATGTTAGAACGACGCTATATATAAATATAATATATATCCTAAGTAGCGCTTTCGGTACATGAAAAACGCATTTAGAATTTTGTCAATCGTCCCAGTAGAACGGGAGATATAGAACTGTCCTTTTTTTTTTTTTTTTTTTTTTTTTTTCGCAGTGTACCTCCACGCAGCATAAGCTTGAGTACTTTAATGTTTCTGAAACTGCTTCCCATGTTAAAATTTCGACTAACATTACGGGACGAGTGGCGTATGTCAATAAAACAGTAACGTCCATTCAATTCAAATTGTATGGTCATTCTGGGTAACGAATACAGCAGAAATTCTATTGTTTGAACACGTAGGAATATAGTTGAGTTCGAATAAGCAAATACTGGGATAGCAATATAAAATATACTCCAGGTTGGCACCAAGTAATGCAAGGGGCAATTTGAGACAATAGCCGTATTTGCTATTCTTTGTACTTTTCTATGAAAATCAGAGCTCAGTTAATTATATTTAAAAACTAAAAATATGAAAAAAAAATTTTATTTTTAAAATTTGAGGAATATAATCTTTTGCATGCAACTATACATAAAAATTAATTTCAGGAACATCAGTACCCTCAGCTCAAATGCTTCATTTTAAGTCTTCTCAAATTCTCTTTCTCACATATGGTTTGAATTTTTAAATGGTTGACTTTTAATGGTTTGACTGTTTTTCTTTCATATGGTTTGTAAAAGATAACTGGACAGTTCGGAAAACTGATTTCGATTTGATATTTAAAATTTTAAATTACAGTTTGATCTTCTTTGTTGTTCAAATAATCCCCGTTCTTTTATAAATTAATGTTACAATTTTAATAATTATTACATGCTGTACTATGACCAGTGTGAGTTGCATTTGCGGATATTATTCCAGTTAGGTGGCAGACTCAGTGACTCTGGAGATGGGCCTTTTGCTTCCTATCTAGGGCGCCAAGGTTCTCCAGGCATACCTGGATCGCCAGGCATCCCTGGACATAGAGGAGAACGTGGTTTTCCCGGGCAAAAAGGAGAAAAAGGAGATTTAGGTCCTCGAGGACTGAAAGGTGACAAAGTGAGTTGCTTTTTTAGAGTTATTTAAATTTTAAACATATATATATTACTTTATAAGACATTTGATTTACCGTATGATTCTCTCTGTGTCAAGTAATATGAGAGAATATATACAAATATATCCGTTTTTCAAAAAAATTGTCTAAACATTTATTATCTCAAGTGATAATAATAGATACGGTTGCCCCCGCTTATTGTAAACGCTTCCATTCGAAATGCAGTTGAGATTATTAAGCGGTTGAATGACTACAATTTGTGAATTGCAAACCATGATGTCAGTTTTAAACTTTCAAAGTAAAATATAATTAAGACTCAAATAATGATTAAAACTTAATACTAAAATTAAACTTTTTACTAAGTTTTGAAATTCATTTAAAAATCTTTTACAAAAATATTTTTATAATTACGATGAAATTTTAGCTCTTACAAACAATTATTCTAGCTGTATTGTGCTGCTGTGCACCGACAGTTTTTTTAATTGTATTCTTAATTTCGCAAAAATGCTGTGATCAGCACTTTTCAATTCAGGAATGTTTCTTACATTTGCAGTGCTTTTCTACATTCGATTGTTGATGATATATCAACCCTGTTTTCGATATTCGCTGTCTGTTTCTGCAGTTCTTTTAAAACTTTCATGGTCAATTTTCGTATGCGTTGTTCTTTATATTGTTCTGAACTGACCCGTATCTAAAAATAAATCTTCATACCTTCCCTCATTGCTTTCTGAAATATTAGCTATAGTTTGAAATGCTTCTGAGGCCTCTTCTACATAAAAAGCCCATTTTCGAAAAGAGTTTTTAAATGATCTTATGAGATTAAGCCTCTGCATTGACTACAATATGCATGGCCAAGATATCGACTTCTCCTTCGATGTGCTGACCGAATGTTAGACTGGTTAGACTGAATGTTAGAAGTTGTATTTGCAGGAAGAGATACTTGAGTTTTGTAGATAGATATGGAAGGTGGTGCTGCAAAGTTATCTAATTAGTAAAGCTATTTTTTATTGTTCAGTTCTCTGTCCCATTTCAAAAGAAAATCAATAACAATACTAATTGTCGTCAATAAGTTCTTATTGCTATGGTAATAAGAAATATAGAAATATTTTCTGGACTTCTGTCGAACTTCAACAATTAAGAAGACATCACTGCTTTGTCTCAATAACTCTTGATTGTTGAGTTCATATTGTCCGTAAATTGTAATTTATTACTTCAGTTTTGTAAACCAAGTGCTGTTTCCCTTTTAAATATTAATGTGCGTTCTGGTAGTGTTCTTTAACGCAGTCCAATTTTGGCTGTGTTATAAATTTCGTGTGGCTTGTATTCTTTTAGCAGTTCAGGTAAAGAGTCTACTATGTAGTTTCATGGTAATTCCCTTCTTCCCACTTTCCACGCAATTACTGTTGAACAATGCTGGATTTATCTTTCTCGATATCCATTTAGTCAGTTTATATTAAATTATCTCCATGCATTTATCAATTTAGAGAAAAAAACTCTAGATACATTTTTTAGCTTTATTGTGGGAAGTCTTTCAAGAAAAGCAATTTCAACGTCTCTCTATTTTCTGTGCTTTCTTAATTTTCTTGAGATATTTCATTTTTAGTAATTCTCCATTAACTGTAATTCTTTTTTAAGTAAGTGCACAATGCTGTTTGGGAAATTCTCACTTTAAATGTAGTTTTCCTCTGGCTGTAATTACCAAGAAATTCGAAATATTTTAACAATTTATTCTTTTCTTTCAAGCTTAAGTATTTTTGCTTGGCATTTCGATATGCTACGAGTTAAGCACACAGCATATTAAAAAAATCCTTCTTCAAATGGTTTATTCAAATTTCAAAATTTGCTTTTATAGCCAGCAGAAATATTGCCCGTTGTCTATTTAGTTGATGTGGCGCTTCATGATTACAAGCATAAAATGCTTTTCCTTGCCTTTCCTTTCCTTGCCTTATCTACAGTTAACCACTTCCTTTCCATTCAAAGATTTATAATGTACGTTAATGCTTACAAATACTTCATGAAATCTTTTTAAAAATCTTTGTGAACATAATATGTGTATCTCAAAGAGAAGATTTTGAACGCTGAAACCTTAACAGATAGTATACAGACCTTTTTGTTATCTTTAAATATATTTTGTCTTTCTGAAGTTCAGTACGGAGAAAGAACTTTTAAAAACAATGCCAAGTAAAAGTAGTGGGGGAAAGGAAAATTTCGGTCACACGCGTTTTATTGAAGAAGTTCGTTAAACAATAAAGCCACGGTCCACAGTGTGTTAAATGGATGAACTACGAAAAGCTTTGATAGGTACAAGTAGGATATTCTGGCACTGAATAATCAGTCTTTTATATTAAATTATATCCATGCATTATGGAGTTTAATATGAGTTTAATAAGCAGCGGAGAGATGAGTTTAATAAACTATGCCTTTTTTATTGATTAGTATGTACTTATTTTGATACCTGGAAATTTGAACGTAATAAGCGGCTGCGTTTATTAACCAGTGAGTTTAATTACAGGAGGGTAATATATTGTTGATGTAAATATGTGCATAATATTTCTTTCACATGTAGATGATTCTAAAGTCACAAGAGCATAGTACTTTTTGCGACAATAGACTGTATTAAATCAAACAACGGCACCCAGGCCAAAACAACTGCTGTTCGTAAAAGAATTAAAATTTTACAGTAACAGATACAATAAAAGTAAGATTACTTTTTTAATTCTGTTTAGAGTGAAATAAAGATGTTCAGGGTCAAGTTAAAGTGATGAATTGACGTTAAGATATTTTTATTCAACACCTTAGTCTTCATCATGCATTTACGTAAAACTTGTATACAGAAATGTGCTTCCAAGGATTTCTTAAAGTAAGACTGAATTTTGATCAAGAAAGTTTTAACAGAGTGTGTATGAGAGTTCTATAAGCATAAAGTTCATCCTATACTACATAAAACTATTGTATAAAAATATAAAAGATTATATAAAAATTCCAACTTTTTTATATAGTTCCTACACAGGAAAAATTCAAAAATATGAAATATTCACTGTGCTTCCTTAAGTTAAATGAAAAATAAATTTATACCTTTATGAGCAAAATTTACTTATTTGTTGCATAAATAAATATTTTAATGGGGTCATCTACAAATTTAACAGCGAGGTGGAATAATTAACCACTGTAACAAGTAACATTTATTTTGCAGTATTTATAATTTACAGCATTTATTTTCTCCATAAATTTGGAATTCTCTAATATCTCTTTGAAATTGAATATCGAAAAACATAAAAGCAATTTTTAGCATTGAAATCATTAAAACAAAAAATTTGAAATTACTGTAATTTAAAATCTAGCTAATTTAATAACTGAAAAGTAATTAGTAATTCATTGCTATATGGGAGGCATTCCAAAATTCAGATTTGCCATATGCAAGACGTTTGCACAGAAATTACAACAATTCAAATTTTTAAGTGCGTCAACCTGAAATACAAAACTAAAAGAACGCCAATTTACTTCCGTTTCTGGCTAGACAACAAGAAATCCAAATTCTTTACAATTCACTCTATCCTAGTATCTTAATAGGTAAGATTTAGCGAGCTAATTGGCTCAACATTCAACACCAAAATTAAAAATTACCAACCAGGAGAAATTCTGATCAAGACCAGATATAAATAGTAGTAAAGTTTTTCAGGTAAGACAGGCGTTCTCAATTTTTCTTCTCTAACTTAGTTTCTTACCTTATTTTAAATTCCTTTTATTAACATATTCTGGTGGCGTAAACGAAAGAATGGGAGAATGGAACAGATTTTTAACGTAAGAAAAAATATATTAAATAAATCGTACAGTTTAGAAATACCATTTTCTTCCTGTTCGAAAGAAATTGATGCAGTCATTTTCTGTGCCATGTAAGTAGTTTTATTTCCTAACTGCAAAATGCTTACTGGTCACTTTTAAAATTTAGTGACACGCATGTGTGTTTAAAGATTGTTGTAAGATTCGCAATATTTCCACAGGAAACTAAACTAACCTTTAGGTTACACTTATGAATACTAGATGGCAGCACGAAGACTAATCCTTATCAAAATGGATGAACGTTGAGGTGATGCACGCAGAGGAGTGAAAAATCCGAAAGTGGCTTTCGAAATAATTTACTTTAAATTTACAATTTCACTTCAGCATCTAGATCCTGTTTTTTTTTTTTTTTTTTTTTTTTTTTTTTTTTTTTTTTTTTTTTTATATATATATATAATTTTTATTAATCCAAGGAAAAAAAATTTGGTTGATGTTTCTTGAAGTTATGCATATTTGAATTAACAGTTAAAAAAAACCCACAGTTATTTATTTAAATGCCTAGTTTCTAGAAATTAAAGGGAAACACAAAAGGTTTCAAAACTATTAAATAAACGAGTTCAGGCAAGAAAAGGAATCCATAAGAATGTTGTTATTAGGGAAGGGAATCACAATATTAGTAAAAACGTATATAAACAACTAATTTGGAAGAGAAAAAGCAGCAGCGGATTTAGATGTGAAATGAACGATCTTATGCAAGTGAAGTAGTTTTTCTGTACCATTTGCTTTGAGGGAATTTTTGGTTAAAAGAAGAAAGGAACAAACCAAAAGCAAATAAAAAAAAAATATTTAGCGTTTCAAAATTACAGTTATAGGAAGGTAGTTCCCAAATACTTTTGGTTCGTGGTGCTCTCTGTGTATCGGATATTTTTGTCATGGTTACTAAAGTAAAAACATCATGGAGGAAGCAAAGCCTCTGGCTATCTTCCGCACCCAGTTGATGTAGTCTGGTTAATTAACTATTAAAAAAAAAAATAAAAAAAAAAAAGAAGAAGAAAAAAAGAAACATGAATTTTAAATTTAGAAACAATTTATGAAAAATGCAATAAGCGCATATTTTGAACAACCATACCTTTAATAAATAAATCGCCATAAGGTGAAATTACTAGCTTTCGTTTCTTGCACATCTTTTAAAATTTTCGAATTAACTGACTCGTTTTCAGTTTCAAGCTGACTTTTTTCATGATACCTGCTTTGTACTACATCGACCTTAGGAATTCATCTTTATACTGCACGTATGCCATTCCTGTTTTTAATGATATCCAAAATTAAATTATTCCTCTGTCGTCAATTTTCTCTGCCGTCGCGTCTCATGAATATTGATTTTGAAAAAACGTGGCTTGTGCAATTTGCATTAGATGTTCTTTCTACCTTATCTCACCCATGGATAATGTGTAAGGTGTATACGAGTTAGCTTCCCTTAAAAAGTACTCAAGTCCTCTACGAAGGCCTTCCTCCCCTTAAGCAGATAACCCTCAAGTGGTTTGCCATAAACAAATAAACCAAACCAAACCAACACATGGATGATCCAGTTATAAGACTACATGAGCGAAATAGCATTTCTATGAAATTATTTGAATATTTCGGGGAGCGCAGTTTGGAAACATTGCTATTAAGTGAGTTGTTTAGTTCGATTTTACTAAAATAATAAAATTTCATAAATTTTGAAACTTTTCGTTGCAGATAGTCATGGGATGCATTTATAAAATCTACATGGAATCATTTCGAAAATTGCATTGCTTTTTCCACTAACATTAGTTAAAGATTAAAACAAAAAAGATTTTTATGAACGCAGCAGATGCAATTGTTGAATCACTGACGATTCAAGCTTTCCAAAAAAGTGCTTTTTTAGGCTTTAAACTTGAAGTCTTATTATTGTATTCAGAATAAATCACAATTAAAAAATTACGAAGTATTTCAGTGAAGTGCAAGAAAATCCTTTCTCATTTTAGCGCTGCTGCAGAGACTAGCGCAATTTTCGTGAGTTAATACTGATTTCGTTTCTTAAAGTTGTGCCAATTTTCAGTTTCAGTTATCCAATTTCATGTTTAATTTGCGAACAGAATTCCGATATCTTAGTACATGTATTCTATTTTTGTTTAGAGTTGGCTACCGTCTTTTATTCATTTAGGTGCTTAACTTGATGCACTCGATCAAATGAAAAGTTATGAGCATGCAAATACAAAAACCTTTAAACTAAACATTTCTTCAAAAAAAGTACAAAAATATGCATAGATACAATAGAATGTCTTCTATCCGGACTCCAGATATCCGGAATTCTAGTCACTTGGATCATTTACTGATCTTTCTAAGGAGAATAAAATAAAGTTTGCTGATAATTAAGCTGAACAACAACCAATTCAATAGAAACAACATTGTGCTTTTAGCTACACAGTCTACATAAATTAAAATTAAATATTTTAGTTAAATTAGAACAAAAATCAATTGTTTATTTAGACAAGTAAAAACGTTTCTTTATTCTATCGAGAAATGTATGCTTTGTATTTTTGTTCTATAGAAATAAAAGTACCTTACTTTTTCATCTATTCCCCAAAATAAATACTCTTTTTGTTTAATGGTGCTTTGTATGAAGGTTTGTTTCATGCAAAATAGAGTAGAGCTCTAAATACCGAACCAAGCAGCGCATGAACACATAGCAAAATGAATAATCCACTTAGTAATAATCCAGAATTTAGTCTATAAAGAAAAGTGAAACTATCGTAATCATATTTCTTCTTTTGCAGGGTTCGCCTGGGACTAAAGGAGCTAAAGGAGAACACGGCATTTCCGGACCTCGTGGAATGGCTGGCATACCAGGCCACGATGGAATCAAAGGTGCAAAGGTTCGCAACTCATTTCTATGTCTCTTTAAAACTGCTTTCGATCTTAGGGCAAAAATAGTCCAGTTACTTTCAATTACTTTCAGTAAGAATGAAATCGGAATTCGTTTTGGCAAAATGAAGAAAATTTTAATGACTGCATCTTTAAAATTCACTAATAATCAAAGAAATAATTAAAAAAGTATGATATAATTTAAAATATTACGTTACTTAATGTTTGGCTATTGTAAACTGTCCAACTCTAAATTAGCTATCTACTCTAGGTCTCTTCTTCCGCGCAGTAGCTCAAAATTTATATTGAAAGAAAAATTAATATTTCTGTATTATCAGAGGTGGGGCTCATATCTGAATTTTTAAGGTCGAATAATTGTGATCCCCACAGCTTCTAAACATTAAAAACTAAATTGCCTTTGTGGAGAAAACGTGATTTTGAACTCAGGCAAAGCTGATCTCTATGTGGATCTGTTTGTTCCCAAGATCTCTTTGGTTTATTATTAGGGCTATTGGACGATATCGATTTTATGATGAAGAGTCAATATGTAGCATCAATTTACGGAGACAAAGAGTCAAAATAATGCAGTAGATGAAGGTGTTATAGATATGTTTTATATCCTAAAGGTAATAGTGCATATAGGCTCCTAGACCTCGTGGGAAATTTGCTTGAATAACAGCGTGCGCAAGATTGTCTGAAATAAGACGACAACAAACAGCTATACTGGAAGCTCTGTTAATGCCTGTCTGAAGCATCAACAAGTCCATTAGTGTGTTCTTAATACATAATGGTACTCCTTCGAAAAGATGATGCGGAAAATGAAGCATAAGATGAAAATTATTTTCAAAATCACAGTATTAAAATATGGAGAAGAAATAACTATCGTAGAAGTGCCTATAATTTAAGTTTTATTGTAAAATAAAATTTTCAGAACCCTCACTTGTATCTAAAAATAATTAAAGCTTTAGAAATATTAAAAATTTTTATGGCCGTCAATAGAACAAGAAGAACGAGTATGTATTTTTTCTTTCCTTATTGCTAATTTTTGTTCTTATTTTTCTTTTGTGTTGATGTGATTGTACAATTTGTGATAGAGAAAAGCTAGATAATAATTATGAAAAAATATTTTAGACGTCATGAGAAAGATTTTTCATAAAACAAATTAGAATATTCACTGTTAAAATTAATTTCTTATACTTGTTTTCCTGGAAACTTTGCATAGATATTCGCAGATATTTTTTGATTAACTAAAATTTTGGCGCTGGAACAGAAATTAATTTTCACGTTTAAAGTAAATATTAGAATTTTGAGAAACACTTCATGTAAGTCATACGTACCTAACGATTATATTCCTGAACGCTTTTTATAAATTTTATCATGTAATAGAGCTTCATTTATATGAAAATTATCTCGTAAACATGGTTTATTTAAGATCTTAGATATATGTCTGTTTAGTCTTGTATTAACAATATCGTAACTAATAAATATTGTTTTACTCAACAAAAGTGATATTTTTCTTAGGGAGACAGAGGAGCTCCTGGCGTAGGTCTTCCGGGTCCTAGAGGGCCGCCTGGTCCACCTGGCCCTATTGGATTGTACGGTATAAGCAAAGGATCTTTTGGAAGTGATTTCGGTGATGAAGAGAGAACAATGATCGTTTCTAAAGTAAGTATCTTTGAACAATACAGTGTTTCAACAAATACCTCTTGTAATTTTTAGAACGTTGGGTTATACAAGATATTAACAAAAATATGAACGACATAATTGAAGATCAAGTAAGGATTCCAAATGGTTATAAATCTTGAGCGGAAGTAAAATTATGCCTTTTTGATTCAGTTAGAAAAGGGGTGTTAATCTATTCTTCAGCTATGAATCATTCAAATCCAAATATAATACATAATTTCTGTTGTACTGTAAATTTTATCACGGTATTCTAAAGAATATTAATTTTATTAACACAAATATTGCAAATAAATAAAAAGATCTTGTGTTCGAGTAAAAAACTTTCGTGTAAATATCATTTTATTGTTTAAGGCTACACTAATTAATTTTAGCTATAAGGCTCTTGGTAGATCAGAAACTTCAATTTTCCTCATTTCATGACCATTTAAATAATTTTCTGTCAGATTTATAAATGGTAGATTGTCTTACATGTAAGCTTTTGTCCGGTTATAAAAACTTTCAAAATACAAGGTCGTCATATATGCGAGATCATCTTAGTTTCGACTATTATTATAGCGTTGACAATGGTGACTAAAATGTTATTTCATGCTTCTGAGATGTGATTTTTGTTTTCCTCGTATTTTAAGTTGTAATTTTTTATATAACTGGTGAATTTTGTTTTTCATTTTCTGAAGGTTATTGAACTGGTTTAATTGACATTATACAACAGTGAATTCCTGTTGTGCTGCTGCTAGAAAAAACGGAAATGAATTAATTAAACGAATCACAGTTACTGAGTAAAATGACCCTTATTCAGTGATTTGTAAAATGATTTAACCAGTGTTTCATTAACTTGCTTGCAGTTTAAATATTGTTATGCATATGTGTACGTGTTTATATGTAAAATATATTTTGCCTCTATGTAAAATTGTTTTATTCAATTCGTATAAATATATCCAAACATTTATTGTGTATAATTAATCAGGGAGATAAAGGCGATAAAGGGAACGATGGAAAATTAGGAGCTACAGGCCCTGAGGGTCCTAAGGTAATTTATTCATATCAAACTATCTTTCGAAAATTCGATAAAACATTGTGTGATATTATTAATTAATTATTCATTATCTTCCTATTTACTTTTTAGAGTGTTGTGATTCTGATGCATAGATAAAATGTAAAGAAAAAAATTGCAAAAAATAATTGCATCCCAAAAAGTTTTTTTACCTTTCTTTGTTTTAAACACATGGCAGTTGTATGCGTATATTAAGTTGGAAGGTGAAATAAAATTTAAAACCGTGATAACGAGTCTGAAAATTTAAGTCAAGAGAAGAGGAAAATAAAGTTATCTGTAGAATTTAGTTTTAGTTAAGATTAATTCGTATATTTGCCACAGAAATAGCTCTAGCAATATTGATATCAGTGATTTTAAAATTAGGTCCTTTACTAAACAGAATATGAAAACAATTTAGAAATAATAAAGAGAAAACAATTAAAAATGACGCATGAAGTTATAGGGTGTTCCTCCCACTTTCCAGGTGTCCTTCGTGGTGTAGTTGTTCTGCACGCTGGGCCGGTATTCCAGAGGTCCGTGGTTCGATTTCTGGCGAAGGCGTTGTTAATTTTTCATCTTGGCTGCTTCAAAAAAAATATCCTAATGTCTCTACAAAGTATATAATGGAAGATATTAGCTATTTCTGGAATAAATAATTGAATGCAAAAGTAAATAAAAAACAAAAAATGCAGATTATGTTCCCATTTTCTAACAAATTTATTTTTAAAAAATGAAAAAAAAAAAAAATTAGTCTTTTCGACCTAACAAAAAACGCAATGCAGAAACGGAATTTTTAAGAGCAGTACCAATTTATTTCAGTTGGTGAAACAATTCTTCATTATTTAAATACATCTATAAAATAATATTTAATGTAATAACAAATCTAGTATAAAGTTTTAAAATTTCACTTTAAACTATATTTCAGCTTTATTTATGGATAGGAATTACTAACATCTTTGAACGTTTTCCACGTAAAATAGGGTGATAAAGGTGATCCGGGATTGGATGGAAGACCAGGAGATGCAGGACCGAAAGGAGATGTTGGACCACCTGGAAGTCCTGGACCCATTTCACACATCGCTCCGGATGGTACTCTAATTATTGTAAGATTTCCTCAGCTATCTTTTTTTATCCATTTTCTGCTGTGTTTCTACGGAAAGTGTAAGCAAAGATGAAATATATTCGAGTACATCTTGAAGCTAGTTTATAGTAATTATAGTTTAAAGTTTACTTTAAACTATGATTACTATAAACTAGTAATAATTTAGAAACCGGTACGTTGGCGCTTCTTACAGAGAGAGTTATTAGTATCTCCTAAATCTACTTAAATGTCTATGGATGAAGAGCTTTCTTAAATTCTTCTTCAAACTCATCTACGTACTGTGGTTCATTTCAACCTATAGCTGATAGGTACTAATGGCTGAAAATCTGGTAAGCCTTATTCCTGGACAGAAAATTTGACAGGCTTCAAAAGTGGCGTTAACTTATCAATGAATACCTGCCTGGTTAAGCTTAGTTGCAGTCAAGCTCTTATTCCTTAACCATATTCTTTTGAATATGTTTAGTCGTTCTGTATATTTTTATTTGATATTTTCTACATTGACTCTCGAACTTATAGAGGAAGGAAACAAAAGGCATGTGAATACGAACTTGTATTCTTTAGAACGTCCTCCGAACAAAGGCATACCTCCTCTTAAGCAGATAGCCTCTGTGTGCTTTGCCATAATCGAATAACCTAACAGAAACAGAACGCATATGATTTTTATACTGTTAATATTCCAACTACTGCTTTAAATCGATACTATAGGCAGCAGCTAATAAATATATATGTGAAATAAAAATGTGTCAGATCAGTCACCGTCTTATTTACAGTCACGGTAACACTCAGATTACCACCAAAATTATCATGATGCCTACCGGCCTACAGAAGATCTCTTTCCGTAAAAAGAATAAGTACAAAAATATATTACAACTACCTTTAATGAATTCTTCACTTCACAAGATTTACAAGCTTTAAATATGAATTTTAAACAGGATGTATTTAAACTTAGTCTAAATAGGATGAAATATTTACTTTCAAAAGTTAGTTTAATGAAAGTCGAAACCACCATAAAAACGGATGATGTATCCAAGTATCACATAGTTTCAGAATATAATTAAAACATGAACTCATGGAACGGAATTAGTTCATTGAATATCCTATTCTAATAGTCAGAAAACTCAGTTTTATACCAACAATGTAAAACATCTGCTGGTACCTTATAGATCATTCAGTGTGAAATTAAAGTCTGCAAGTCTATGCAGTACGGGTATATTGATATTTTGTTGGCTTTTTGTTTATATATATTTTGTTGGCCTTTTGTTTATATATATTTTGTTGGCCTTTTGTTTATATATATTTTGTTGGCCTTTTTGAAAACTACGCAATGTTTTGACGACATTCATCTGTTATAAAGTTCCAGTGTAGACTACAGTGTACATAGCATTGTAGTGTAGTGCACATAGCATTATGGTGCATTTTTGAAGCGCACTGTGGTGAATATATTCGCCCATGGTTAAAAGAATCTAAGGATGAAATGTAATTTTAAGATTAAAAAAATCTGATGTGTACACCACATGACTTCCTTGTACGGAATATTAAATTATACGCATATTTTCTTGCATTTCATTTAAACTTTTTGGATTGAATTAAATCTACTTCGCCGAGAGCGCATAAACCACAATAGAATAAAATGCATTCTTTAAAATTCACTCTAGTATTTGTTTACCATAGCGACAATTTGGCGCTAGATTCACTTAACAGTATTACTAATTATATAACAGTTAACTTATATATTTCGTTCATATTATAACTCATAATGCACAAAATTTATATCATTTAAAGAATAGAATTATCTAATCGTTGCCACATGTTCTATTCAAATACTATAATAAAGCTAGAATGTTGTATAAAAGAAATTACGCAAACAAAACAAAAAAGAAACAGTTTTTCACAGACGATTGAGTATTTCTCATTTAATTAATTCAGTTCTCACTTCGCGAGAAGGCAAAAATGCATAAAAACTCAAAATATCTATATTAAAAATTACGAAGTAAATCTTAAACACTTATTTCCTCGAAAACATTCCAGAAAGAATTAAGCATGATTTAATTGGCAATAATAAATTAATGCGTTATCTTTGTTGTTGCGAAGCTAAGTTTCTCTAGATTGGCAACAAATCCACTAGTCTCTGTTTCAAATGTAAACATCAATGGCCGCCATATGAATATCAATGGCCGCCATATGGCTTAGCGGCACTTAGACAACTTTAAAATTGTTGATAATTCTAAAAATATTGCATACAGATTTACTAAAGGCATAAAAACTTTAACCGGAAGATAATAACAACATAATACAAACATATAAGAGTAAAGAAACTGAGATCACTGAGCCGGGTAACAGAGTGAATATATATATATATATATATAAATATATTTATATACGTTTGGTGCGGCCGATTGCAACCAAAATACGAGGTGCACATCTACATGTTATAGCAGTCCTATATAAAGCAGACTTTATTCATTGTTTGAAATGTAGTCGTGTGAAGGAATCTGGAAAAGAGCAGCTCGAATATGAGGTTGCCAATGACCCCTGAAACTTAGATCATCACATTATTTCGAAAAAGGTTACAAACAATAGGTATAGAGACGAGTGTAACTGTGAACTTCATCAGGCTTATCGTTTGTTTACTCTTATATAATTGAAATATAATTGAAATTTTAAAATTATATAATTGAAATTTTTAAAATCATGATTTGCTTTGTAAAGATAGCTTTAAACAATCCCCGGGTTTGGTGATAGGCTGTATTGCGCAACATAGGTAGGGGTGCTAAGTATGCCTTTTATGTACAAACGAGAAATCTCAAACCGCAATGAATGCCGCAATCAAAAGTCTTAATTTCCCTTATATATCCATTAAATTATAAATAGTTAATTTACAGAGTATGGGTTTCACTACCTTACCTGTGGAATCAAATAAACGTTTTTTAATCATATGACCTTTCCTTCTACTTTCAGGAAGAAAAAGGAGAGAAAGGAGAGAGAGGTAGAAGAGGGAAAAGGGGACCTCCTGGACCACCAGGACCTCCAGGAGAACCAGCACTCATTAGTGATTTACCCGGATTTCCTGTAAGTATAGAAAAAGATTTTATACAAACAAAATAATCTAACGTTTCAGAGTTCTACTTTTATGTCACTTTTGTTGTGCGTTATTAAAAAGTAAGAGAGTAAATTATATGACATTTAAAAAATATTTTCAATGAAAACTGTAAATAATACCACGATCTACCCATTGTTTGCCAAACTTCTATTTCCGCTTAAGGAGGCAAGATTGAAATTTCCATAATTTTTTTTAAATACCAATTTTGAAACTGTAAGAGCAGTTTTAAAATGTGTATTCGTATATAATTAAATGTGTTTTAGAAATATGATGTCTGTATTATAACCAAGATATATGATAAAATATTTTATGAGTGGGATTTTCACTTAAAAATCTATATTTGCTTGAAAATTTTAAACACATTCGCTGTTTCGTATTTTCCAATTTTTAAAATTATTTACGTTCTTAAAACTCAGAAGCTTGAGATTCCCTATTAATTAATGAAATGCTACAAAATGTTTTATTTATTGGTAATAATTTACATTAAAACATTGCTTTGAATATTTTGTTAATAATAAAGTTTTTTATATAAAATAATGAAATTCTTAACTGTTACAAATCAAGCAAAAGATATTAGTGAAACAAGAAATAAAAATTTTAAAAAGTCGATTCCGATTTAAACTCAAAATTAAGTGTGTTACGAGATGCCTAGGTGCGGGGAAATAGCTTCCCCGCAAAGCGGGGTTAGGGTTGCCAAAAAGTTGCAGGAAAAGCAGGGTTGACAGATTTGACCCAAAATCGCCCATTTGGCGACAAAATCAGAGATATGCCATAGATTGTGCGACAACATTCTAGAACGCATTCTTAGCGGTTTTTCTCGGGAATGTTCACGGAAGTAGGTTAAAACTATATATACCCTACCTGTATGTGGAGAAAGTAGTGTAGTAGAGTATCTTGAGTAGTAGTGTAGCAACATTACTACAGAGACAGTGCTTTGCCGTGAAGCTGTCTTTACCGTTATAGCCTGAAGGTTGTGTTTTGCTTGATTCAGCGTATTTGTCGTAGCCTTTCGATGACTGTAACTTGTCTTTGGAACTGTCCTTTGTAATAGTGCTTACTGGCGAATAAATTGTGTTTTGATCATCATCAAGTGTTACCATCAGGATTATCAAGTATATCAAATGAACATAAAAAATTACTCCAAATCCACGAACCCGTAGAACGCAATAGGTGTTATTCATAAGGTTTTTAATATTTTAACCCTAAATTTTATTAATTTCATTTTTTTAAATTTAAGAATAAAGACACATTTCGTAAGGTAGAGTACATTTTTCATTTTAATTTTTTGGTTTAACTTTCTGTATAACGAAATTCAAATGTTTTTCTACAAAGAAATCATAATCAAATGAGCAGTAAGTATTTAAGCAATGCATGTAAATAAAGAGCGTCTAAGCTGGTTAAAGAAGTAATTATTAAGGCATCAAAAGCCCTCTGAGCTCAGTATTTACTATTCAGCTATCATTTTGTCATTTAAAACATAGTTTTAATTAAATTAAATGACTATTAAAATTTAAAAGCACAAAAACGAATAGAACAGTGATCTCAAACTTCTTAATATCTATATGGTAAATTAGCAATCTCGGGGTTCAGAAACGGAATCTTCATAGTTCATTTCATTGTTTGCACCGATTACTATATACTATCTTCAAAAATACTTTAAGATGAGAACTTTCACATAAATAACTGTATGTACGAAAAATATGCCTATGGCATTAAAATTTTATCAGCAGCTTTTCTCATTGCCGTCAAAAGGTATTCTGAAAAAGCAAGCAGGGTTGCCATAACATTTGACTCCCTTGAAGCGCCCCCTACAATTAAACCTATTTATTGCTATTCCGAGAGGAAGTATTACTCTAAAAATTATTTTCATAAATTATTTATTTTTAATACTTCATAATCTGTATGATAAAACACACCGATGTTTTTAAATGCTATGTTACTCTACAATGCATATTATTTTCAAATTTGATATTGAGTCTTTTCATTACTATTCAACTTTTTTTCTTCCATTTGTATTAATTACATCAAATAAATAGGCGAAGCAAATTTTATACAGGTTAATACACATATAAAATGCATAGTAATTATTTTGCCGTTAAATAGGAGCATAAATACCTGAGCTATTTTAAGCCAACTTTACAATTGCAGTTTCATACTTTTCTTTCTGAAGATTTGTAATGTCTGAAATCTTTAATAACATTCTTGTTTAAGCATCAGTTAAAAATGAGCTACATTTTAACATTATGTATTCAAAAGTCATGTATTATATTAATCTCGAATTCTTTTTCTTTGTAAATTTTTGTTTTTATTTATTTATGCCAAAATTAATTTCCATTTAGAAATTCAAAAATCGTGTAAACAAACGTAGCAGAAGTTTAAGGACACTAAAGTATCTTTATTCTTCAAAATTTTAGTGCATTTTCAAGTGTTTTAAATTATTTTGTTTATAAATAACACGAAGATTGCATAGATGCTAAAATTTTCTCTTTTTTTTCTTCATCTGCTTTTAAAGAAAGAATTCGTCGTACAACAGGTAAGACATAAGAATGTTCATTGTCATGAAATTATTAGAATACATAAATTTTAATGTAATTCAATGTAAACTTAATTTGAAGGGCCGTCCAGGAGCACCAGGACATCCCGGTCAGAAAGGAGAACCGGGGGAACCCATTAAAGGAGAGAAAGGAGACAGGGGCGAACCGGGACCACCTGGTTCTGGTGGATATATTAATCAAGTAAACATTTGTTACATGCTATTTTTTTGCAAAATTTTACTCTGAGAATGTTGTATTTTCCATTAGAATTACGTTTGATTTCTCTTCAATACATCATCGCGTTTATGTATAACGGGTCTCAAATGAAAGTTACCGCGTTGTGTAAACACTTTAAAATTATCAAAATAATTTTAACTATTCGTTTGTTTCGAAGATAGTTATTCTTTTAAATAATCAGTCTTTGGATTTCTTTCTCTTAAAAATCATTATGTTGGAGGTAGAGTCTGTAATAAACACCCATTTTGAGATGAATGCTTAAATAAAAGAAGAACCTATCCACTTAGAAGTTTCTTCAGTGAGGCAAATTCGTAGAAACCGTAAGACAAATCTTAAATCAGGCTACAAGGGGAATATTTCAATAATTCCCAATACAACTGCATCTGAAAATTACTTTTCAGTTAGCGGTATAAGAACAAATATAGTTACGCAATCAGGTGGTCTGTTTGCCCCCGATCGTAACCTCTTTCTTTGTATGCTAGACGGGTTTTCTTCTGTTATCGGGACCGGATTCATAAAAGTATGTATGGATGTATGTGTTTATGTATACCCGCGTACAGATATATATACATTTCTCAATACCAGGGTTTCTTAAACATTTTTCAGTCGCTACCTCCTTTCATCACTGAGATTTTTTCGCGATCTCCCAGGATCTCATAATATTTTCGAAAATTTTGTGGAACCCCATAAGTATTGCGAAAATCCGACACACACGTGAGTGAAACCGTCAATACTTTCACTTGTACTGTAATATACTACTGCAGTTTTAGGTCATTAAATTTAATTTTTAATTTTAAGACATAGAACAATGAAAATTTAAGTAAGTGACAGGCGAAATGACAGCGTCACGTGCAAAGCAAGGAAAATAAACGTTTATATTATAAAAAGAAAAAAAAAAAAATGCGTCGAAACTTTTTTTTTTTTTTTTTTGTTTGTTTTTTTGGTCTGCATTGTCTTATCTTAATCTATTTTCAGATACACTGTGTAAAAATATTTGGTTATTGTAAAATTATTATAATAAGTTAAAGAAATATCAAAACTGCTAAAATTTTAGCGACCCCCTGCTGTAGGTCCCGCGACCCACAGTCCCAAACCCTGCTCAATACTGTCCCGATAACAGAAGAATACCGCTAAACGTAAATATTTTAATCTTGATTGATTTTTACATATTTTTCACTTTAAGCACTTAAGAGTTTTATTACGGTTTGCAGTTCCCGTCTTTTAAACTGATTAATTTAAAATATTCTCCTTTCCCCCTTTTTTTAAAGCACTTTTCCTGTTGTTACCTTTTTCAGTACGCGATAGAAAGTCACCTTCTACAAAACTCTAAGCAGTACTCCTTGCATTTAACTACTGCAACGATATTCTCAATTTCTCTTTATTAAACACGATATGTAGGCAACTTGTCGTCTTTTCATTTAAATTATTACCCTGATATTTCGGATTAAAACATAACCCTGGTAATATTTTAATTTTTTACTAGATTTAAATTATTTATTTATTATTAAATTTCAGTATTATTCTGGTATTTAGAATCAAGCTCTCTAAAAAGTTCTAGTTAATAATGTACAGAGTTACGTTCAACAGAATTAGTTAAGCTTATTTTTCATGATGATAACAAGTATGCTTAATTATTGTGAACATAATGAAATTTGTTGATGATACTGATTTGAAATTTAGAATAGGAATTAATAGATTCTTACTATTAAAATAACCACTAACCTAATTTTATAATAAAAAAAAGCATACTGATAAAAAGCAGAAGCTTGATTATCCAGAAAGCCTCAGAAATGGCGAATGTCAGATAAGTAAAAATTCTGAATTATTGAGTATATAAACAATCCATTTCACGGCAGAAAAGCCAAACGAATGGAAGAAGAAATTTCCGGTCTAAAATTATAAAAATCAGTCATCTTATTTATTATCAGCTTCAAATTTAAAAGCTTACATTTAACATCGTGTTAGATTTCGAAAAGAAAATGTATTTCACGTGTATTTTCGTGGGCCTTAAACATATGAAAGTAAAACATTTTATCCGATTATGAAATTCCGTCTGTTGGCACACACCCTTAGCAACTTGCGTTAGTCATTCTGGCAGAAGTCTGAAAGAAATGATCGCTCTTTGTTTAGTCAGATAATCGAGAGATACAAATTACGGTTATAGCATATAAAAAACTCATTATATATAATCATTTATAGTTTTTTTATCGTGGCTGTATTAGCATTATATATCCGTTTTCGAATTAAGTCTCATATCGAGCTCATTATTAGCACACACTTTTCTTGATGCCAGGATCCCATAATTTTATAAATACTCTATTGCATGCTGTTTGGTTTAAAACAGGTCCAAAATTGTAATCATTTTTTTTAAATGAGAGAGAAAAACGAATAAATAGTATTTAACTTATATACGTGACCTCTCTTTGGAGTAGGCTCTGGGAGCCATTGTTCCATGTAATATGGACAAGACAATAACAACTTATATATGTTCCATCTTTACAAAAACTAAACCGGCTTATTGAGAATTAATTCATCATGTTTACATAAAACCAAAGAAATCTTGTATCATGACGTCATTCTTATCCATTATTGGCGGTAAATCACACTGTTTGGCGACAGTTTTTGTTTGTTTCGAGTAAGCTTTATTACGTGCTTTATGATAGTTTTACCAATCTTTAATTACCTTAATATTTCCTTAATTCCTTTTTTTTTAATTTATTAATATTCCAGGTAATTGAATGACGGATAGTCGGGCAAGGTTAGTACTTATTTCACATTTTGACTTTAATATGACATTTAGTTGAGTTATTAAATATAAGAAGAAACATTCGGTTTCAGGTTTTAACGTACTTTTTTGTAGATGCTAAAAATCACGTATGTTTTAAAAGATGCAAGATTTTCAGTAATTAATATATCTGCTTACGATTAATAAATAAATATATTATGGATAGCGTGGAATAAAATTATTTTGATTTTACACTAAAACGTATTTATAATAAATATAGGCATTTTATTCCATATTCGGAGATAGTAATGTCTTTTCTTGTACATTTTCAGGATGGGTTGGATATCATGACAGAAAGTGAGTATTGCCCCACATTCTAACATAAACTGTTTGTAGACTTTACTTAAGAAGGCTTGCAGCTTTTAGAAATCTATGATCCTGTTTTTAAAAAGATTGGAGATCCTGCTTTTTATACGACTCTTTAAAAATGTTCTTATGAAGGCTTACTACATTTTTTTTTTGTTTGTTTATTTTTCTTTTCGTACATTTTGATATGTCCTATCCAATATTTACTTTTATTTATTTCAAATAATGAATTGGTTATTTCAAAAGATCCTATGATTTCAAAAAACCAGTATCACTTATGTTTCATCAAAACGTAGATCAGAACAAGTGAAAATTACATCCTACATGCGAATAGAGAGCAAAAGATTTGTTCTATTAGTTATTTACATCTAACTGAATGAATTAATATTCGTGAAGATAATGTTGCATATGCTCGTTTTAATTCATTTTAAATTTTTATGCCACTCTATAATACAAATGCAATTTGAAACGTTTCACATGTTGCTGATAATATTTATTATATTTAGTTTGCGCTTAAAGACGGGAAAGTGGTTAGTCACTCTAACAGCCGTACCGGAGGGCCCGGAGGAGGCATGCATGTAAATTTTTCTTTTCCTTCAGAGGAAGTAATGGTAGCCAACCTATTAAGTGCCTTCATAATAACGTGATTACAGCTTCCGTCCTTAGTAGTGGCCAACGCCTGTAATGGCTAATGTCCGCCATTGGGAAAATTAGTGTATGGTTACATATCCAATTTATGCTGACATAGCTGTTTGATAAGAATTTCTGTTGTTTAAGAATCAAAATATTCAGCAGAATATTTCGAGTCAGGTGCTCTTGAAATGCCTCGAGTTTTATTAAAATCTTGCGTATATCTATTTAGCATATTTTTTAATTTTAAGCTGTCATACTGTCTTTTTATTCGTTTATTCAGTCGTTAAATAATATTCCTTCAGTATTAAGTGACCACAGATATATATTTTCTGATTACTGAATATGAGTATTGGCTGATACAGCGTGCTCGTAATTTGTGTCAAAATGGAAATTTATACACGCCGAAAGTATTTAGTGAAGAAATAATTTCTTCTAATAGCTTTCCTTTAGTTCATTTTAGGGAGGAGTAAGTAGTCCAAAGATGACAGATCTGGTATATAAAAGGGAAGGATGTCACATTACTAAAATGTGAGTATTGCCCCATATTCAAGCAGTTCCCTAGAACACCCCCCCCCCGTCAAAACTGCTTGAGGGAAATAGAATAATGTGATAGCGCACTGAAGAATGTCACATTACTAAAATGTTATTTCCCTAGAAACTGCTTGATGGAAATAGAATAGTGTGATGGCGCACTGAAGAATGTCACATTACTAAAATTTTACTTCCCTAGAAACTGCTTGACGGAAATAGAATAGTGTGATGGCGCACTGAAGGATGTCACATTACTAAAATGTTATTTCCCTAGAAACTGCTTGATGGAAATAGAATAGTGTGATGGCGCATTGTCGTGCACTGAAAATCGATTGAGTTTTTTCAGGTCTTAACATGCTGAAGCCTCTTGAAAAGTCTGCTCATTATACCTTTTTTAAATCTGGTATTCACCGTCTATTTCTCAGAAAACATTTCTGTATGAATTATCTCTTTCCAGTCAAAAAGGTCACTAGTAGGATGTTTTCTCGTTGTGTTGGAAACCGACGTTCTGTGGTCAAGGTAAACTTTCTCTAACCCAAATAAATTACCACTATTTTGTACTAGGAGTGTAAGTAAAGCACCAAATTTCATCTCCAGTCAAAGTTTGTTTGAAAAAAAAAATCAGGAGTAATATCTACCATTTGAATGAATCATGAGTAATATCTACCATTTGAATCAATCATGAGTAATACCTACCATTTGAATCAAGCTATGACATGCAGGAATTCGATAAACTTTCGATTCAACAGGCAATGCGTGAGAGTTCAAAAGATTTGTTTTTCTTTTCCTTTCTTTATTTTTAGCATAAAATGATTACTATTCTCGAAGCGTGATTTTGCTCTATTTCACTTTAATGCGTTTTTTCACTTCATTCGAGTCTGCTGCCATTTGGGAAAACGATATTAGATATAATTAGTTATTTTATATATTTAATAACTTCATAATTAAAGATGAAGGAAGATAGTATTCCTCCATCTGACCGTTATTAATTAGCGAACTAAACTATTTAAAAGCAATAGATGCAGTTCTTAATGTTATTGCTTTACTTTTTTTAATCTGATTGATTTAAATAAAAATGCATTTAATTCATGAAATATATAATTAAAATCATTTTATTTTTCATTAATGTTTTTATTGAACTATATTGCATATTTTTCACTTTTTAAATATACAGAAGATACATAGCGTTCCCGTGTTAGTCTAAACGAATATTTATGTAATGTCCCAAAAAATGTTTCACTATTACACCTGGGCCATCTCTATCAATAGTTTCTACTGGTAAACTATTTTATAAGATCCTTTTCAGGCGATCGTTAAAATCTTTCAGATATTTTCTTTCTTTTCTTTCCCCCGTCTTCTTCATTTTTTTTTTTTTTTTTTTTTTTTTTTTTTACGGAGGGAAATTTTCAGACGTGCATAATATGTTTATAAAATTATAACCGAATTCAGTCTCAACTTATTCTACATTAAAAGTGTTCCCATTTTAAAGTGAGAAAAGGAACATGAATTAAAATAGTTAGAGGAGTGTTTCATTTAAGACTATCTACTATTTTAGATGTCTTTGAATTACAGGAAGTAAAATCTCACCAGATTATGCTAGTAGGTTTAAAAATTAAAAAATTTAAAAAAGGGGAGAGAAAAGATTATGAAATTTTATAATGTTGCACTCGGATTTCACTTAACCTTAGTAACCTATTTCGAATTTTCATCCTGTCTTACCCAAGATACTAAACACAGCTAATAACAACAAAGCATAAAAATAGTTGAACTAATTTTTTTGTTACTTGAAATTAACAAAAAGGTGAACAACAATTAAAGTCTTTCATTACTTTTTGGGCTTCCTTAATACAGTAGCTGTATAAGATTCCCAAATTAAAGTATTATAGAATCTGGCTGCTATTGCTAATGAGCCCACTTACGAAATAATAACTATAATATATTATTTTTTTATTTAGCAGTGATTAGAAGGGTATCAATATTTAGCAGGGTTATCATCAAGAAGACTATCCACCGTGTACCACAGACAGTAATATAAATAGCAGTACAGTATGTTAATATTACTCTGCTTTACTGTGGAATAGATATTGGTAAATCCGATAAAAATAATTAAAATTCAGTTTCAAATGTTTTTAATTTCAGAACAAAAATTTCATCAAATTATGCCATTAACTTTTTGAAAAAAAAAAAAAAAAAAAAAAAAAAAAAAAAAAAAGAAGAAGCAAAAAAGAAGAAGAAAAGAAAAATAACACGGGAATTGCAGAATCGGCATTATGAAACTGAAAAACTAACCTTAGGCGTAATCAGCAAAATTATAACAACAGAACTACCAGTAATCATGTCGAATTAAAGCAGTACAATAATGTATAGATACAATATTGTACAATATTATTAAAGATATTAACCTAAATTGCCTTTCCTAATTATAAATCTCATTCACTTTATTCAAGATGTGAATGTGAACTCCGGGAGATAAATGAGCAAATCTCCATCTAAAACTCAACCTTTTTTTTATTGAATCGCAACTGTTGATTCAATAAAAATAAACCTAAAATCTTTGTCATACAATATTTTTAACAGTCACTCATATATAATTTTTATATATGAGTTTATATAATTTTTATAGTTAATATCCTTTTTCATTCTTTAAAGATTTAGTCAAAGGAGAAAAGGGAGAGAAAGGAGACAGGGGACCAGTTGGCCCTCAAGGAAGTCCAGGAATACCAGGAATCCCAGGAGAAACTGGACCTCTAGGTCTGCCTGGCATGAAAGTATGTATTAAAATTACTTACAGTTTTGTGTAATTTTTTTGTTTCCGAATCATTTACTACTACATAAATTTTAATAACACGGTAGTATCCGATGATAAACTGACATTTTATTTCACTCCAGTTAAATATACAGGGTGTCCCAAAAGCATTGACATCGGCTTTTATTCCTTAAATATGATCGTAGACACATAATATTGATTACAAACTTACGTAAAAAAGGTACAGAATTTTCGGGGAATTAAATTTAAAGAAATACAAAATTTAAATTTTTATGTGTTCCCTGTACAGAAAAATTCTGAGTTAGCAAAGTATGCTCCATACACTGATAATCTCATGTAAAACATTTCAGCATTTTACCATAAAAATTCGCCGAGCTATGTTTAAACAAAGTTGGTGAGGGGGTGATCATAAATCAAAATGCAAATACTTACAGCTAGATTGCAGATGACGAGATGCAGAAATGCATCATAAGCATATAAAATATGGTTCTTATCTTTAGTTTTATTTACAAATTTACAAAACTATGCTTTTCAAACTCATATCCAAAGGCACAGAAAAGTGGTTTAAGTCAACATTTATGTAATTTCCTATCTTTGCGGCTTTTTGTGATAAAATTCTGAAATTTTGTACATGACCTTATTAGTGTATGAGCCACATTTTGCTAACTGAGAATTTTACTGTATAGGGGCCATATAAAAATGCCAATTTTATATTTCTTTAAATTTAATTCCTTGAAAATTTTAATTGATTTCATAAAATTCTGTACTTTTTTTACGTAACTTTATAATATATATATTATTTATCTACGATCATGTTTCAGGAATAAAAACCGAGGTCAGTGTTTTGGGGAGACCTTGTATTTTGAGAATTAATTTACTGAACCATCACCCTCAGCTTTGGCAGCTGAGGGCGACGGTTCGGTAAAACCATGGAAACTAGTCCTGTGAAAATTTACAAATACCTCACTGATTTTTGTTGTTTGACTTCGAAATTAATATCTTAATTATTAGAGGAGCTAAAGCAACAAGAATCAGCGAAATATTCATAAATTTGTAAGACAAGTTTCGAAAGTTTAAATATAGAACCTTCTTCATTAGTTTCAGAAGTGTAAATGTCGAAATAGAAGCCAATGCTCAGGCAATAAGAATGAGAAGAAGCACTTCTGCAGCTGAAGAGAGGTTCTAAATTTAAAAATTCGAAACTAGTTCTACAGATTTATGAATATTATGTAGCTGGAAACGGGGAATCTAAAATCACCATTGTCTTTGTAGTGAAAAATAAAATAACAAACTCTTCGCCTTTTTTTTTTTTTTTTTTTTTTTTTTTTCGAATCAAGGTAGGAAATTTTTATGTTTTCCTTCAGTAATAATATTTCATGCTAAAAAAATGCTTTATGATAATAAAATAATAACAAATAACTATTATCAAGAATCATTTTACGGACTTGCGAGTGCATGTTCATATTTCTTACTGTAAACTTAAAAAAATTAACAAACGTAAAATACACCTAAAACCGTCTTAGCAATGTGTGTTTCTACTTTAAATGCTGCTCGTAGAAATACAGCAGGAGTTTTGCGAGTTGCACGCTGTATCGAATTAAAAAAGATGGGGCAATAGAACAGTAAGTATCCATGAAGAAATTTTCTTAAAAAATTATCTCTTGATAGAAAGGTTTTATAATCTATAAATATTGTACATACAAAGAATAGAATTAGTTTTTTAAAATATTCTACGTCAGCAAATAAAAATTAATGTTGTGTCATACTCATTCTGAGAAACCATGAAGTACTTTTTAGTATGACATATTATTTATAGGTTTTAGGTATATTTAAGCTTTAGGTACATTTTACGTTTGCTAAATTTTTAAATTTTCCGGTAAGAAATATGAATATGTACTCATAAGTCCATAAAATTATTTTTGTAGCAGTTATTTGTTGCAAAAATTAAAGTGCATAGTCAATTAAGTTATGGTTCTTTCTATTTGAATAGGCATGTTTTGCTTACGTATCGATTTACAGTTTTGTATTCAGTAAGAGCTTCTCGAAGTACTTATTCTTGATAATGGAATTTTTTTCAGGGAATTAAAGGAGATATGGGACCACCAGGAGCTCCAGGTCTTGTTTCTTACATTGATAAATCTGATGATAAATTCATTTATGTTCCAGGACCACCCGGACCTCCAGGTCCTCAAGTGAGCATGTTTTATGATTTCTTTTCCGTTGATTTTTATGTAACTCTTACTAATATGCAGCAGTAGTTTGCTTTTTTTCCCTGTACTAATTTTTAATATCTTTTTAGTTTTAATGGGAAATCTATGTAATGATAAGTCTATCCGTGGCAGTAATTTGTGGAATAAATCGAATGAAGAGCACTTTCCATTTATGAAAATTTTAGCCACATGAACCTATTAAGCAAAAATGCAGAAAATTAAGTTTTTAAATGGGCCTTGTATGTAACATAGTTTGTGAGAAAAACGATTTCATACTTAAAATATTGAAACAAAAAAAAAAATAATAATAATGGGGAAAAAAAAAAGAACCTTATTCTTATACTATTAAAATTACCCGAAATGTGAATAAGGAAAACTTTTGAAGATTATATACAAACTTAAATTTTCTTTATTTTTCATTAAAAGATTTTACATGAGCAAAATCTTGGTCATTTGAAAATCTGCGTTATTTGATTCATTTCTGAAACTGGAGTCATGGTATGCAAGCAGTCGTTAAGGAGAAGTGCAGTATATCTTAAACGAACTATTTTCTGCTTGATTCTTAAAGTGTAGGGTGGTGTGTATTATATGTAACAACTAGAGTTTATAACCGCGCTAGAATGCACATGCACATGCGTGGCATACCTACACTAGTGGGGAGCTTGAAGTTAGGCAGTTATGATACCACAGAGTCATAGACCGTTGGCCGGTGTATTTGCAGACTGCGGCAGTGGAAACTTTCATTAGATCAGGCTTTGTCGCAGACATTTATTGTAGAGGAACAGTGAAGATTTATGGGTAATATGGAGGATATAATTTGTAAGGTATTTTATGCTTCCTTTCTGCGTGCCATCGTGAGGTAATTGGAAGCACATTTTATGTGTAATAGGGAGGTCTGGCGTTCGAATCCCGGAAAGGGCATTGGCCATTATTTACATTTTCATCATGATTCAACAAATTTGGTTCCCACAGGACGGCACAAGTATGGCTAAACTGTTCCACACGATATCTTGAGACGCTTCACAGAAGTCCTCCTAGCGCTTGAACAGCGAGACTGAGCAGAATAATAATATATAGAGGATATTAGTTTTAAGGTTCACCGATGCAGGCATTGCCTGCACACAGTAAATGTTTACGTGTATACCGTTATTTTACATTCAGATTAAATTACTACAAATCCTCGCCGTTTTTCTGTTGTTATATAAAGCTAATGCATACAGTATATAAGTTGAGTTCTTGAGTTAAATAACACAAAACTGATAGAAAATTATTAGGAAGTAAGTTAAACGACACTTTTCAACAACTCTGGTAATCATAAAGTTCTTTATAAATTGTACTTCGATAGTGAACAGTATGACCATGACTACAGTAGCATTGAAAAGCATAGCTGAAGTAGTTCGTAATATGTTTTCAGAAATTAAAAAAAAAATATTGTGATAATTTTAATCTAGTAATGTAAAGATAAAATATTACAGATATTGGAAAGAACAAGTACTTTGTAAATTATGTTTCAGTATATGAATACTATGCTGTCCGTATTTCCTACATTTGAATATATTTTATGGTAGTAATTTAGAAACAGTAGATTTATACTTAAATTACGTAAGTTGTGAAGTAAATAAAAATAAGTACAATTGTTAGAATAAGTTTTCCTGTTAGCAACTGTTTCTTTAAAATAATATCATTTCTCTTTTCTTTATGATTATTATTTTAAAGATCTTTTGGCTTCTTAAAGAAATATGTTTAAAAAGAATAACATAAAGTTCTGCACCTTGACAGGTAAGAAACAAATATCTAAAATATTCCAAAACATAAATATGTGACTTTTGGGGTAAAAGGAAAAAATAAGCACTTGAAAATAAAATTTCTCAGAATTCTTCATTTAAAAATAAAAATTTTGTCGGAAGAAAAATAACGTTTTCTAAAATTGAAAGCTAAGCATATGGTCTCTTTTTAGTTTTCAAGTTATAGAATCCCATTTATGTATACTTTCAAAATTTTCTCACATATTTGAATCCTACTACAGACGATACGTTGCTCAGCTGAATATTCATGCGGATATACATACACCACTGCTTAAACCATACCGTTCTCTACTTTTCAAATTAGTATATAAGCACTCAGTATTGAGGGAAAATAGCGTTCGTTGTACAACATGAATAATTTCGTTTTCTGTCTTGAAGCTTTTATCTGAAGTGAATTTTGCGTTTTTCTGTCATAGGGTCCAATGGGAATTTCAATACCTGGTCCACCTGGTCCTCCTGGTCCGCCGGGAATAGCTAATCCATGGATTAACGCAAGCAATGGAAATGGGAAAAAAGGTGAGAGGGATTTGCAATAAACAAAAATAAATATATTTTTTTAATCTTAAAGAAGAAAAACAAAGGAAAATTGCAATGAAAGATAAAGAAGTATTAATTATTGTTAATTGCCTTTAGTTATTATACAGATTTTCTAGTGGTTGCGATGCTAACTACGCCTCTAACAAAATTAAATTATATATACTAATGTTCAATTGAATTTGAATAAAAAAATATGTAAAGTTTTGTGCTTCGATGTACATTTTAAATATAAATTTACGAAAGTTTTGTAAAATAATTTAGATTTTATACCTTCTCATCTAATTTGTATGTATATTTTCTGAAGGAAAAAAATGTTTTTGTGAGTTAAATTTTAGTACGAATTAAAAATTGATTTAAAACTGAAGTTGTTATTCAATTTCGTATGAAATCATAAAGAAATTTCAAATACTAACCAAATTTTACTGATAATGGTTCTCATCAAACAAAAAATATCAGACACAAATTTTATGTGATAGACATCTAATCGGTATTCTCCTAACTAAGAAGTATTAAAATTCTCTTTTTATCACTTATTAGGGTTGAGAAATTTTAATTCTACGAAATTTATTCACTACTTTAAATTAAAAAACAAAAATTGAAAATATTTTCCTCAGTTTCTTATTTTTGATTCTGAAAATGCAAATATTATTATTTGTGTTTGAGAAAAATTAAATGCAGAATATTAAAGCATAGTGAAAGAAAGCATGACGTTTCCTTTAAGAGAAATGATAATTTGATTCATACTTTACATCCAAATTTAATTTTTTTTAATGTTATTTAAAGTTAGCCAGTCCACCTGTAATGCAGAAAAATCAAACGCTGAGAAAAGCGAGTGGTTTCCTTCTTTTTTATTGAAGTTTTCTGTCTTAGAAAACTTTACTTATTATTGTTTTTATTTCTTTAATTGCCAATCGTAAGTAGATGTTCTGAAATATATAAATATGTTCCAATTTCTAGTAAAGAATTTTTATCTTTAATACTTATTTAAAAAATATCTATATAAATAACAAATTTAAAATATCCAGAATGTTTTTCCTTGCTTGAAATTTTAAATTACTGGAAGAAAATGTATTCTGCTGATTGAAGATTTGATTCTCTGCATTCTTAAAATGATGATTTTCCCTCATTCAGGTTTAGTTATAATTGCTCTTGATAGATGGCGGCACCAATTCATTTGTATTGTCCTATTTTCATTGCTTCTGTTTTATCGTATTTTTCTCAAAGAATTATTTACTTCGAAACAAATTTTTAAGACAAAACTGTAGACCTCAGATTTTTGCCTATTAAGTTAGCAGTTCTTAACTTATGATGTCAACATTTTTCACCTTATTGTCCTAAATGTTGATATTATTCGGCCTACTTTAAAGGAAAATGTTCTTAAATATTTTGATTTCAGATTGTTGCCCTAATGCTATTTATTAGAGCGTTTTGGGAAGTCAAAATAAGATGGCAGTGGCTTTCCGCTTTTGCAAATTAGCAAAAGATGCTGCTATATATGTGAATTTCAGATATATTTTGTATGTTCAGCGCAGAGTCTTATAACCATTTGGATTTGTTATGGGGTAAAGGAAATAGATTAATATTTTTCATGCTAAGTACTTTTAACGACGATATTAAAATCAGAAAAATTTAATCCAAACAGAAATGAGTTACATGCTTGATATAATTTACTCTCATTTCGACACCGTACTGATATAAGCCTACTTATGTGTCCAGAAATACGCTTTGAAAAGTAAAGAACGGTACCATGAACGGTATTCAGTGAAAAGTTTAGTGAAATTGTTTTGGCTATCAATGCCATCACTTGTCTTACTAAGATAATCAACTCTGTCATCAAATTCTATTACTTTCCTAATACATGGAAGTATGCTATCATCGTCGTCTTCCCAAAACCACATCAAAATTCAACGTTTCCCCAGAACTACCGCCCAATCAGCCTTTTCAGTCAACTTTCTGAAGTAGCTGAAAAAGTTATTCTTTATCATCTTAATCAAATTATTCCACATAGCTCCTACATCCCAGAAGAACAGTTTGGCTTCCGTCATCTTCACAGTACTAATCACCAGCTGCTTCGTGTCATCAACTATATTACTGACGGTTTCAATTGTAAGTTTCCTACCGGAGCCATTTTCCTTGATATTGCGAAAGCTTTTGATAGGGATGGCACCGGGGACTTATACACAAACTTATCAAGTTAAACTTCCCCGGTCATTGTATTAGACTTATTGCTTCCTATCTCCAAGACAGAATCTTTGCAGTGAAAATTGGCAGTTCTGTTTCTTACAAGAGAAAAATTTTCTCTGGGATGCCTCAAGGATCTGTACTTTCTCCATATTTATATAACATTTACATTTACGAAATTCCTAAGGACCCACAAATTACCATTGCTCTCTTCTCTGATGATACTGCAATTATGACCCAAGCTTCTACTGTTACTGATGTCCAGCGCCTTCTTCAACATTACCTCAATCATCTAAAAAATTGGGTCACTCTTTGGAGGATTACAGTTAATACCGAAAAATCAAAAGCAATAATTTTTCGCAAAGGTCAAAAAAATTTCACTCCACCTAGACCTCTTCTGTTTGATGAAGAAACTGACTGGGTTGACGAAGTTAAATATCTAGGAGTCATCCTTGAATAAAAAAAACTGACTTTTCAGAAACATCTCAGGGAAACTGTGAAAAAAAATCAATATCACGCTTGCAACTATGCGCCCACTTCTTGGCAGAAGAAGTCATATGTCCTGTTTCTAATAAACTAACTCCTCTTATATAAATCTATATTTCGAACCAGCATTACTCTATGCTAGTCCTGTCTTGGGGCCACGCTGCCGAAAACTCACCTTTCAACACATTTCCAAGTACTTCAAAACAAAGCACTCAGAGAGATCATCAACGCGCTATGGTTCATTCTTCAAATTCTGTATATCCACCCGTGATCTCAAAGTAAGATACAATTCAAGATTATATTCAAAAACGTGCCAGAAATTTCTTCTATTCAGTTCTCACTCATCCTAACAACTGCATCAACTCTCTTAGATGTTCTCCATTTCCCAGAAAAAAGCACAGATATCCATCTGACATTCTCCATCCTTAACCTTTTTTACTTATACTTGATTCAGTTCACTGATTTGGACCTTCAACCAGACACTCACCTTTTTCATCGACTGATGGCGGCCACCTGACTTGTACTTTCGTCTTTTCGTTTTACTGATGTTCTTCACATTATACAGAGTAAAAGGAGGCGCTGCTTTCTGAAACTCAAATTCACTATATGTTCTTAGTAGTAGAAATAGCAGTTAGCGTGTGCATTCTGAGCTGAGTATATGAGTGTAAATTTCATGCCGAATCTTTATTAATTTGAGAATAATTTACTTTTGAGAATGTTGAGAATTAATTATTAATTTTAAGAAATTAAATTTATGTGCTTGACCAAAATAAGTGTTTAAAGAGAACTACAGTGTAAATATTCAGTGTTATAAAGTTGGAGAGAATAAACTGCGTAACAAGAATTATCAGATTCGAACTGCGCTATTTGACTGGATTATTTCCCCACTGGCAGTTGAAGTCTGTAACATATGTCGTCCCGTGACAGGACGCAGCTGCAAGTGAGTTATTTCTTATCCTGTTTGTGTTTATTTGGAGAAACTGTGTATACTGAGAACAGATTTTTATTAAACGAAACCAATACAGAAATGGTTGAATATATTGGTTTTAAATGCGTGAAGGTTTTTATCTCGCATTGGTGTAACGAAATATTTTATTTTACATTTTTAATTAAATTGAAGTTTAAATATAAAATAAATACTGAGAGAGATGGAAAATAAATATTTTAAGTTATCAAACATGATAGTTTAAAGAATAAGTAGAACGCAGCATCGGAGATTGTTAACAAAGGCACAAAGACTTGTAATGAATTTGAGAGAGAGAGGAAGAAAATTATAAAAAAAAAAAAAAAAAAAAAAAAAAAACTGAAATGTTTCAGATTTTAAATTACGTCCAAAGGGGCGTTTTTTAACATTTTGTGTGTTACCTTTCTTTATTAAATATCATGTTCCTCGCACTTAAACCATAAGATCCAGTGCAACAGCAATATCGCAAAATAGTTTTTTAAAACGAGCATATCTTTAGAATTTCCGATACAGAGACTCACGCGCTGGAGATAAAAAAAAATGTTTTTTCTGCACAACGTTGCCATTGCTCGCTTTGAAATCCTTGAGTTTGTTAATCAAAAATTCGTCAAAGTTTTAAAAAATAGGAAATCGATCATAAAACAAATTTCAAATTTCAAATTTGGTCTTCCACATGCTCATATTCGTTGGAGGATTTACGTTATTCAAAATTCGATGACTCTATGTACCGTTATTTTATGAACAATGTGAGAAATATACATACATTTACGCAGATTTTTCATTATTTAATTTCTTCAAATATAATGCAGGACTCTAACATTTTATGGCAACAGTTTGAAAAGTGAACCGACATTTATCCGTCCGACGCAAAATGCCAAAACGAAAGTAATAGTCCTTCGGGACTCAAGTCCCTTTGGACTAAAAATGTTGTAAATAAAATCGATAAATTTAAACAACTGTTCGCTAAGGATATTGACGAAAACTTAATTCAGGCGGAAATAGATGAATCATAGTATATTGATCGTTGGCGTATTTTAGAACAGAAAATGAAACAGTTATTAGCTCCAGATAGAGATGATCTCTTGTTTGACGTTCCAATTAAAATTTATTGAAATACCCCAAAATTCAACTCCCAACATTTAATGGAAATATTAGGAATTAGCAATGTTTTCAGAGACATTTTCAAAAAATCGATGAAGATCCAAATTTAGATTTGAAAGATAAATTTTCTTATCTATGTCAAGCTATGAGAAAAGATAGCATAGCAAAGGGATTTATTAAAAGTTTTCCTTCGGGCGGTGCTAGCTATGAAAAGCAATTACGGAATCGTTTCGGAAATGAGGAATTACTAATTCAAGTGTATCTTAGAGTTTTAACATTAGTTCTTCAAAAAAAAAAAAAAAAAAAAAAAAAAACCACTGGGAAAAAAAAAAAACTGTTGATAAAACTTTGTGATTTATTAGACACGAAATTACGTTCTTGGGAAACTGTTGGAGTTATCAGAAATAAATATGCATCCAAAGCTGGAAATCCTACAGTAGTGGAAAGGAATGATTTAGATTCCATTTTAGAATTTCTTCAAGATGATGATACGGCTGAAGAAAGAATAAATCTCGCATCTCAAAACTTTGATTTTTCGAAAACAAAACTGAATTTAAAGGTAACGACATATTTACCAGTAATAAAAAGTTTATGAGTAAGAAATTGAAATATGGGAACGCTGCGCAGGTTCCAAGTGCAGCTGATCTTTTAACTTCTCCCACAGGACGGGAACAATGTATTGTTGTATGCCTACGGGTTCGTAATAGATTGAATACACAAGTTCGATAATAGGTTAATAAAATTTATTCATATCAAAAGGAATATATCAGAATGCTGGAATTTTCTCAGAAATATTCGTACAAGTGTTTACAATATCACGCAGTATAATCAGTAGATAGACTTCAACCTACAAAAAACGTTAAAATACAACACAATACAATGCTTATCTAGAGAGAAAACTTAATTCGGATATCTCAATTCACGCGAAACTGAACAACTCGCATTACGAGTACCTACAACATTCACTTTTTGAGAGAAATAGTATAGAAGTGTATAAACATGATGTATTCACGTTGCTTTCAACCAGTATTTTTAACCTATAAATTTTGTGCAAAAGAACCTTTAAACAATGATAATCCTATTGCCGATAGCAATCAAGGTCAGATTGAGATGCTTATTGGTGCTCAGTTAGCAAGTAAACTCATAATAGGTGTTTATATGATGTTATCATGTGGACCGTCAGCAGATGAGATCAAAAGTCAGCAGTTGAGATGGATCTTCATGGGCACAATGACAAAACGTTTTATCCGAAGAGAGTAGTACATCGATAATGATCATTTGTTTATTGGCACTGAATGTACCAATTTCACAGTTATGGACATTAAGATTCTTCGCAATAACGATCCTTGTGTGAGTAGAAGCTTCAAGAGCAGAGCTCCATGAGTCTATCAGAAAACACTTTTTGGAAACTATTAGTGTAGAGAATAACTGTTTTGTTACGAATTTTCCCTGGATAGAAGATGCCCTGCTTTGCCTGACGAATATAATTTAGCTCTGAAGAGTCTCAATACAACACTAAAATGTTTGAAATCTCTAGCTATGTAAGGGGAATACGAAGGAAGCCTCGAAAATTTGGCTGAAGAATGGTATTATAGAGCAAATTGGAGTCAAGCAATTGGAGGGACTAAGCATTGTTCTGCATATTTTTTCTGTGATGCCAGAAAAGATGTGTATGCTGTTGTAAGATTTCTAACGAATAGAGACAAATGCTGATGTTAAAGTTCTATTTTTGCAAGCCTGAAGTAGAGCTGCCCCTACAGGAAAAAAAAATTAGCACTGTTAGACTTGAGTAACTTGCTACAACTATTGTATCTAGTCTGTCTGTTTCTTTGTTAGTTTAACCGACATATGCTGAAGTTTGTCTTTGGAGAGACTCTTCTATTGTTTTAATATGAATCACACGAAAGGAAGTATGGATAAATTTCATATATGATAGAGGTAAAGAAATCGAGAATTAATTGATAAGCAGACTTGAAAAGTACATACCTAGAATAAATAATCCATCTGATTTACCTAGTAGATTTTGTTCGACACAATATTTACTAAAATTTAAATGGTAGGAATGGCTCCACTGATTATATTTACATCGTGAAGAATGCCCAAATTCTAATTTCGATACGGATGAAGAATAAATTGCCAGAGAGCGAAAACGGTTTGTGACTTCTTCAATTACAAATTTTATGATGACAGTAGATTCAGACGGAAATACCAATGATTAGTATTACAAGTATTATTCAAATTATAGCAAAATTGTTAGTCTCATTGCCTAGATTAGTAGAGATTTTCGAAAAATTGTCGCATCCCGAAATGTGCGCAGAACAGTGGCCATCTTGACTCCAGAGAAATTTTAGAAGCTGATAAAGAAGTTATTATGTTGGTTCAAGCTAAATGCTTTTTAAATGAATGGGGTGAGAGATTAAAAATTTTGAATGCTTTTAAAGATGAAAATAGTATTAACAGGCTGAAGACTAAATCAGTAAATCGACAAGATAGTGACGATTTCAAAATACCAGCAATTCTGCTATCACATCATGAGATCATTAAAAGATTAATATTTTATCATCATGTGAAAAATTCTTATGCAGGAACTCAGATTCTACTAAACATACTAAGAGAGAGATTTTGGATTCTTCATAGTAGAAGAACAATACGATCCACTGTTACATTTCGAGTGTTATAATAAGTAAAGGTCTTCTTCTATGGAACTGAATGCTGTAACTGCATCTACTCCAAAGGAAAAGTAAGTGAAAGGTACGTGAAACTTCTGTTTTCCAAGTTTCTGTAATGGACCTTCCTGGCTTAGTACACTTGAAAGGAAATCAGAAATCATGAATTTTCTTCTTTTGCCATCTGTCGACCCGTACACCTTGAGTTAGTAACTTCGCCTTCAACAGAAGTCTTCGTATTAGCTGTACGTAGATTCATAGCTCGAGGAAGGGGATGCAAAATTATATATATTACGATAATGGCACAAACTTTATTGGAGTTTCAAATTTGAATCGTTATACCTACTGATGCATTTATTCAACAACTAAAGTGGAAATTTAATCCAGGTACTCCCTCATGGTGGATGGGGGGAGAGAAATTAATAGGAATATTTAATATTTTTTTGAGAAATGTATTAGGTCAAGCTTGCTTAACACATGAAGAAATGGCAACAGAGCTTTGTAACCGCGAGGCAGTTATCAATTCTCGTCCGTTGACTTATCTTATATAACGAAAAATGGTGAACTTGTTACTTTGACTCCTATATTTCAAGAAATCTCAACACATGGACTCAAGATTGTGATGCGGCAGAGAATTTAAACAGAAGGGCAAGATGTAAAACTGTTTACAAGACAACCTGAGGAAAATTTCGAAGTGAATACCTAGGAGCTCTTATTAAAAAAAATCAGACACTAAAAATCATTTCAGATAAATATTGAGATGGCTTTTAATGAAATGACAGCACGAAAGTATCAGTTGTTTCTTGGGAAATTATTGAGATCCATATCCCAGGAAAAGACGGCGTAACTGGTTAAACTTCAACAATAATGGACCGACTTAACCGGTTCAACGTTTGTAGACGTAGAAATATATTCTCTATCCGAAAAGAGTACAATTCTACGGGAAGATATGTTTACAATACCTAATTATGAAAAAGGAGTCCGGTGGTTATCGAGTAGGACGAGTTTGTTAAGATTTCCAAAAATCTGAATTTGAACATTAATAATGATATCCATTTATATATATTTTGTAAATGTTTTTTAATTAGCGTACCTATGAAAGTGTATGATTTAGATGCCATGTAAAAATTATTAGTATTTTATAGAATAATGTAGGTTAATCTATTGAGGTCAAATTTTAGGCTAGGTGTGAGGATATCCGAAATGCATTCGTTCAAAATGCACTCGTCTAAATGCATATTCACTAATATCCTATAAAATGTTTCGCTATTTTACCTCGGCCATCTCTAGCAATAATTTATACTGAACGTCTTAAACCTAAAACCCTTTCAGATTATTTTTAGTCCCAAAGGATTTGAATCCCCGAAGGACTATTAGTTCGTTTTGGCATTTTGCGTCGGACTCATAAATGTCGGTTCACTTTTCAAACTGTTGCCATAAAATGTTAGAGTCCTGCATTATATTTGAAGAATTAAATAATGAAAAATCTGCATATAATGTATGTATTTTCTCGTATTGTATAAAACAACGGTACATAGAGTAATCGAATTTTGAATAACGTAATCCTCAACGATATGAGCATGTGGAAGACCAAATTTGAAATTTGAAATTTGTTTTATGATCGATTTCCTATTTTTTAAAACTTTGACAAATTTTTGATTAACAAACTCAAGGATTTCAAAGCGAGCAATGGCAACGTTGTGCAGAAAAAAACATTTTTATCTCCAGCGCGTGAGTCTCTGTATCGGAAATTCTAAAGATATGCTCGTTTTTAAACTATTTTGCGATATTGCTGTTGCACTGGATCTTTGGTTTAAGTGCGAGAACATGATATTTAATAAAGAAGGTAACACCCAAAATTGTTAAAAAAAAGCCCCTTTGGACGTAATTTAAAATCTGAAACATTTCAGATTTTTTTTTTTTTTTTTTTTTTTTTTTTAAACTTTAAATTTACCACAAATTGCTTAATTTTTATTCACATTTTTGCAAATTGTAAATCAAATATTCTTGTTACAAAAATTTTTCGATCCTATTGAAGTGCATTAGAATTTATTTCTAGTTTGACTACCAATTATCTATATATAAGAAGGAAAAAAAGAATATTTTTCATCATTTAAAGATAATTTACATGATCTGTATAATTAAATACTGAGAATAATTTTACTATGGCAAATATAAAATATTGCCTTTGGCTCAGAAATATTCATCCAAATAATCACCCTTCATTGATAATCTGGCAATGTTCCGATGTCACTAGGCTAATCATAACTGGAAATATGGTATCATTTCTTTCAGTTAATGAGCAAACCTTACTCCATTTGTTCTGAAATCGGAAAAAGTGTTACTGAGACAGTTGAATTATGAAACAAATGTAGAGGGTTAGTTGCTTTAATATGATTTGATCTGCTATGATCGGTTTTTGTTTCCAAGACTGAAATTAGGGCTGAAAATATCCTTTCTAACGAGCTGAAGGCGTCTGAAGGGTTGTAACATCGAGTAGTTTAAAGGTCATTCCTTTCTTTGTTAAATTTTACCTTCTGGTGAGAACGTGATGTACTTTGAATGTAAAGCAAATCATTTTAGGACTATTATTTATTTGTACCGTAAAGAGGCGTTAGCGCACATGGGTCTCGAAACGCTATTTTGCGTCTGATCACTATAAATGTCCGTTTCACTTTTTAAATTGTAAGTATTATCGCCCTGTATTGCATTTAAAGATATTAAATAATGAAGAATCTGTATAAATGTATGCAAGTTTCTCGCATTGTGAAAAAACAACGGTACCTAGAATATTTGAATAAGGTAGTCCTCTACCCGAATAGACGCACCTGGAAGTCCGAATAAGAAATTTATTTTATTGGTTTTCATATTTTGTAAGTTTTAGTGAATTTATCATTAAGAAACTCAACGATTTCAAAGCCAGCAGTGGCAACACTGTACGGGGAAAGAAATTTATTTTCGCGCGAGATTGCCTATCGAAAATTATAAAGATAGCTGTTTATAAATGTTTTTAGCCCAAAGGAACATCTCAAATGCTCTTCAAACAGGTATGTTTGTGTAAATGGGGAAAAAAAAAAAAAAAAAAAAAAAAAAACCCGCTCCTTTTGTCGTAATCTAAAATCTGAAAGCGTTCGGATTTTTTTTTGGCTCAATTTAATTATTTAATTCTTTGATTGTATTTTACAAACCTTAATTTAAATCTCATCGATGCGCTTGGATTAAATCATAAAACCTTAATTTAAATCATGAATGAAATATTGTCAACTCCATTAATATTTAGTAATTCTTACATTAATATTTAGTAAGTTTCGTAGAATTAAATTAGGACTGCTTAAATATTATTGCAATATCAAAACGAAATTTTATCAGTTCCTTACAATAACGATACTGAATATTAATTAAATAAAAAGGATTTATCTTTTGATGAAATGTGATTGACTAAACATTTTCACTGAAAATTTAGCGACACTGAAGGAAATAGAGAGGAGTAGTTTGTAATTCTAACCATTAAACTGCGTAAATACATAGTTTATTTCACATGTAACCAAAGAATTATATGTATAATTAGTGTTCATTACCATTATCTTTAACTTTCAAGTTTTTGCCAAACTAAATACTGCTGGTTCAAAACTTTAAAAAAATCGCAAAACAATCTGCAGCACTTGAATTTAGATTGCAGATAATGTTAGCCTACTCCTTATAGAAAAAACGCTTAAATGACATCATCTGGAACATCATATTTCATATTGTAGTGATGTTGTATTATTAGCAAACTACTTCCAAGCAAAGAATTTACGAAATTGATTTGAAAATTAAAACTCAATCTTAGACTCCTACATTTTAAGATCAAAAAGAGCACAAGCAAGCAGATCCAAAGTCAGGATTGTATTGATTAATCAGTACAATCCTAACTTTAGATCCCAATAACATCCAGTACGCTGTCAATGGGACTTAGTTAGGATGTCCTGAGGACTTTCTTTTCGCCATCGACGGAACAGCTAGCCCACTGGGTTAGGTGCTTTCCTGAGGATATACTGGGATGTGACATTAAGCACTCGGAAGGATGTGTTTAGGAAGTTCGGGAGATATTCCGGGATGTCCTCAGGATGTGCGCTTAACCCGCGAGCAACATCCTTAGGATATCCCGAGGATATTTTTGTACTATGTGGATATATTATCCACCACAAATTCGTGCCAACAGAGTCTGCTTCAGTGCTGTATACTACGTAAAAGTATTTGTGTATTTAGTCTTCAAAGTCAGCGGAAGTCGAATAGAGAAGTTATGAATTAGAGGGTTTTTGTTCCCAGACAACTCTCTCAGGCACATGGCCATATCATTAGGGAAGTTTTAACACAGGAAACAGAGCTATCTTATGCTATACACATAGAATTTTGCCAAATTCTCACTAAGGTACGTGGAATGAAGCTTCTGCTACGATGGTTGGTTGATGACAGATACTAACTAAGACTCTTTCAGTGCATCCAGGTAAGAGAGGAACGCTTTAGCAAGTCTCTTTGTTTGTTGATGTTACTTTGATGAGATTAGGTAATATATTCTTATGATTCAAATAAAACTGCCTAATTGCACTTTCCACGAATTCTTTGAACATGGAGATACATTTACATATGTAATGAATTTGTTCTGTAATATTTTAATTGCACGTAAATTTTCTATTGCCAAAACGTTTTAAAGTATACTACTTGTTACTTGCAGGAACATTTGGAATAAAAGAACTGAAGGCTCTTCTGAAATCAGAAGGTAAATAACTGCTCATTTTTAATCGACAAATTAGGTCGGGAACAATGACTGTTCAAGACCTTAAGTTCTTGAGAGCTGCTGCAAATATTTATGTACTGTAAACGATTTTGCTAATTTCTAATATTACTTAATTTTAGGGATTCGTTTTTCGCATAATTAAAACGTTCTTATATATGAAATGAAATGTATAAAATGACTAATTCAATAAAATAAAATTTATTTGCAATTTCATGTTGTAATACCATGAAATATAATTTTTTCTAAACTTCTTATGCTTGAATATGATTTATATGATAAACTTCTTTCGGAATTTCTTTCCAAGATGAAAATTTAGTTTTATTAATCAATGAATGAATGAAGATATTTAGAAGAGGTTAAGAAAATTAAAGATCAGCTAAGCATTTTGAATTAAAATGCGATCTGTGCAGTTTTTAATAAAACTACTTTCTAATGATACGTCATAACTGCAAATGTAGGAGCTGACACATGTTGTTATCAAAATGTAATACTAATGTCTCCATGCAATTTACAGGGTTTCCGACTACGAAAGGACCAGCAGGTCCTCCAGGTCCCCCTGGACCTCCGGGTCATGCATCGGCAAATGAAGATGGAAAACGAAATCAGCCAACTGTAGTTCCCGGGGTAATGAAATTAATTTTTTTAAAATTTTTTATTTTTTAAAAGGAGCACTCGGAAAGGATTATGTTATTTTTGAATTAATAAAATACTGAACTTAGTGGCAGATTCAAGGCCTAGTGGCTGTTGGTTTGGTGCCACAGCCTTTTTGGAAGACTTTGAGACTGGATGTTGCATGAGAAGAAATGAATGAAGTGTCACCCAAATAAACCCTTTGAGACTCCTACAAAGATTAAGTTAGCAATGTTTGCTAGATTTTCATTAAGTTACTAGTGGCCAAGTGAGATCTACGGTTAAAAAAGGAATAATATAATAATATCGGCATTATATTACTGGGTTCGATTTTTTCAATTATTAGACTCGTGTACATTCTTTTGCGTTAATTTTATTGCCAATATATCAAAAAGGAATGTCAATTGAGCAAATTTTAAAATGAATTCTTCTGCATATAAGTGAGGCAGTTAGTAGCACTGATTATTTTGATGTAGTTCCTAAGTAAAAATTTGCATTCATTATTATTCGGGTGCTTTAGAAACACCCCTGAGCAATAGAGTTAATTTACTCTGCGGCAGATATTAATTTATATTACGGCAGATGTTAATGTATCTTTAACATATTTTAAAACAAGCTAATATCTCTCTTGCTGTCTACCGTTCATTTAAAAATAATATACCAAGAATTTCAATTAATTATCTCCTCCTAATATTCAATTTATTTTCATGATTATCTTATTGCCCGTTATCTGGACTAAATTTCTTCAAATTAAATTATTACTTAACTGACAGAATTCCCCCTTTCAGTTAAATCGTTAGTCAGTTTAAACCCTAACATTGAAATCGTTTAATAAATTAAACCCCTGAATTTTTTCCCCGCAAGCAATTTTCTTTGCGACTGTAATCATAACAGCCATAAGTTAATTTATAAAAGCAGTAATTGTTGTTGAATATTACAATGAGGTACACAAAGTACCTCATTGTAATATTAAACAACTGAAACTGAGGAACACAAAGAGAGGGAAACACGGTGCATTTCACGTATGCTGATATTTAGGGTAATAAGTTAGGTATAATAAATAACGCAGTTTAATAAAACAAACTTTTAAAATCAGCCACTTTTAGTAATGGTTTAATTTCTAAAATTAGAGCCCTATGGAAGTTAAGTCCTATGAAACCGTGTCAAGAGAAGGGAACAAAAATAAATAAATATAATAAAAATAATAATAAAAAGCAATAATAGTAATAGTAATAAAGAACATCTGAAAAGATTCAGATTTTTAATGTCGCACAAGAGGGTTTCTATAAGTATTTTATGCTGTCGTTGAGCTTGGAGTTAATGAGTCTGCTCTTGGACTCACTCCTGTTGACACAACTTTTTTTATATTTTTAACTTTGTCATTTCCAATATAGCATTAAACATTGTCATAATTTTTTAAGTCTTTTCACACTTCATCATATCAATGTTTACGTTTCTTAACAAAATGACCTACACAATTTTTTCCTGTCTTTTTATCTTAATGCAGCATATCTTTAGCATTACCAACATAGCGTTAAGTGTTGTCATAACTTTTTCTGTCTCTTCTCGGTTCATCATACCAATGTTCATTTTTCTCAATAAGATGGCCTGGACAATTTTTTCCTGCCTTGTTAACTTTGTTATTAAACATCACTTTCTTCACACTTACGCCATATAAAATTCAGTAGTAAAATAACAAAAGTTTTAAAAGCAGCATATGTTTAGAATTCCTGAAACAGTGGGAAGTGTTGCCTGTTAGAGTTGCTGTTTAAAAAGAAGCATATTTTTAGAATTCTTTTTCAGTCTTTTCTCTGATTATTATATAAATGTTTAGTTTTCTTAATAAGATGATTTACAGAACTTTTGTCTTTTTAACTTTATTTATTAAGCATCACTTTCTTCTTACTTATGCCACATAAAACTCAAGTACAAAATCATAAAATATTTGAAAACAGCATGCCTTTATAATTCCCTACAAAGTGTTAAATATTGCCATATTTTGCACTTGCTATATTATTTATTTAAGAACTGTACAAAACATTTGCTGACAACTTCCTTTTATTAGAAAAGCGATTCGGATATAAAAGTAATACGCACAAAAAGGAAGTACTGAGATTAATATCAATTTTGATGATAATAATAATAATAAAACAGTAACAAAAAAAAGGAAAAAAAGGGGAAAAGTCTAAAAGATTTTAACGGTACCCCAAAAGGGCTCTTTTTAAAGTTTAATATGATATTTCAGTAGAGTTTATCAATAGAGGTGGCCCAAGTGGGATAGCGGAAAGTATTATAGGATACTAGATAAATGCACATTTAAACTAACTTGAGCATATTATATAACTTTTGCATATTTGAAAGGTTAAAAACACATAGCGCAACTCTATAAAACTATTTAACGTTTTTAATTATATATGTAATGAGTTAACTGCATTTCTATTTAAATCAATAAGACTAAAAAATAAAATAATAATATTCTAAAGAATGAAAAATAATATTCTAAATTGCAATATACATTAATTAATAATAATATTCTAAAGCATGAAAACTGATATTCTAAATTGCATCTATTGCTTTTAAATAGCTTAGTTTATTAGTCAATATTAGAAAGATTAAGTATGAAATATCTTACATTTTGCCGAATGGCAAAATAGTCGGATGACAAGTGGAACAACGCGTTTATAATGGACCACATTTAAAACGAACCAAAGAAAAATCGTATTTCGAGACTAATAGCTCTTTTGGGCTAATAAATACAGTTAAAATCAAGTAAAATTTAAAGAAATGAATAGAAATATCAATAAACTAAATTAATGAAAAAAAATGTTAAATTAAATTAAAATATTAAATAATTAATAAAATAAAAGGAAAAACTCGATGCTAAATTAAAAAATAATATTATTAGAATCAAATGAAATAAAAAAACAAATATAAAGTAAATTTATGAATAAACATTTTGTCAGCATTCTTCGCCACATGAAATAGTTTCGTTATTTTGGCTTTATCCATTTAAAGTATTTTTGACTGGATAAGTGTATTCCAAGTTTTTGTGACAAGATGGTTTACAGCTCATAAAAAAATCTTCTAAAGCATCTTTCGTATATTCTTTCGCATTTCCACTGAGTGAGAATTCTTTAGCTGGTATAACTTTCTCACGTGTTTTGCTTTTTCCGGGCCAAACAAGACATATATTCTATATATAGCATCACTGTCAGCTTTATTTGCTGACTCTGTACACACTTACCTAATTTTGCAATCCAATTATGCAAGAAAATAATGAGTTCATCTTATATGGTTTCCAGTTTGCTTTGGTTGGAATTACGATTTGATCTAAACACTGAGAAGTATTACAGCCGGCTTAGTTTATGCATTGTTCATAGTATTTTCATTTGAAATTTTAAATTATGAGTATATTAAAAATGAAATTTCTGAGTATCTAATTAGAATTACGAAAGGTAAAATATTCTTCCGTAATTTTTTTCAGTTTCTTTCAGGGAAGAAGTATGCAACTTCTTTCCGTACTGGCAGTTTTGTTTCTCAGAGCTACAGATTATGTTTGCACAATTACTAATTTTACGTTTTTAGAAAAATATTTATTTGGAGACGGGAATAGAATATTCCTATAAAATTCAGGGAAAGAGATCTGGGAAAGGTCACGAGTAGAGTATAAAAGCAGAGGAAATAACCGACTAAATACATATCTATGTTTCTGTGAAGTTTTATCGCTTACAGATGCATGGCTTTTAAGCCACATTTTCATTGGTCGTAAAATTTTACTTCAGGGATATCTTTAAAACAGAAATGGTGAAATATTGGCTATCGCAAATAGGTGTTGAGTACTCACAAGCAGAACTTAAACAGAATTGCCAAAATTAGCTTTATGTACTTTCTGAGAACTTCTATGGTTTTCCAAAGAAATAACTAACTAACTGCATTTAGGGTCCTCGAAAGTAATATTTGACACAATGAGAACTGCTATCGTTATTGTTGTTACTTATTGCTACTATCAATCGAAATAACTATACTTACAATTTTCAGAAATAATATCTCACATACAGCTATCGTTACATTACATTATTATGGATAGAATACAGATTCAAATTGGGATAACAAACTGACTACATGAAGGGTTTTGCGATTTTCTTCAAGTGTAACATAAATATAAAATAACGGAAGTGTTTTTTTGTCATAATTTCAAAAAGTTAATCATATATATATCTCTAACGGAAACTGATCCGTGTTTACCTTAAGCAAAAAATAAGAAACTTTATGAAAAAACCACGAAAAACCCTTGTAGTCAATCGAACTTAACTATTAATTTTTTTATCCCTCAACAATAAAAAATTAAACGATCAAATATTAAAAGAAAGATAAAAATTAAATAGAGGCACCTAATAGGCACCCATCGTTACCTCCTATGAAGGGACAGACAATTTTACATCCATGCCTTCTCCCGGGGCTCGAACCCGGGCCCTTTGGTATCGCAGTCAGGCTTCCCTAGACACTGTACTGTTTGGGCGGTATTAAAAATTAAAATATTGTTCAAATCAAAGTAAATGGTTAAAAGCATGGCAAGGAATAATAAAAAATGACCCAGCATTTCTCTCTATAAACCTTGGTTAGGATTCAGAAAAACTAATCATAGGACTGCTACTCTGTATCGGCATTTGTTGAACTAGAAATTTGTTGAACTAGCATATAACCACATGTTGTGGGTTCGGCATGACGTCAGAGCAACTGGTTAGTAGAGAAAGATAAGCATGCATTGTCGTAATCCATGCAGGGCGTGTTGTAAATAGAGGATGCGTTCATAATGACGTAGAACCCTTTATAAACACGTTAGTGATGGGGTGGGAACCCCCTTCTGAACAGGATGTTACGTGTGGATGTCGTCACAACAGTAAGTGCTATAAGCAAAGTGAACCACGTGGGTGTCCGTTTGTTGCAGTTCGGCGTAACTTCAAATAACAAGTAATCTAAATCACGTCATTGTT